TGGACGGCACCAGCCCAGTGGCAGGACCTGTCCGGCCGCCTCCGCACCCCTCCGCTGGCCTTTGTGTCCTCCCTTCTCAGTTTCCTCTTCACACCTTTGCACCTACTGCCCCAGGCACACCTGGCTGCCCCAGGATGTCCTTGTCCTCCCCACATCCGCTGAGCTCCATTTCACTCACCACTGTACCACGGCTGGGCTGGAGACTCTGCTTGGGGGAGGCGGGGACCAGCGGAACGGAGAGGGGCAGGCGAGAGGAGGGCGGGCTGGGGGCGGGAGTGGAGGCTGGGCTGGCCTGGAGGGACCAGCTGGGGGCTGGGTTTAGCCACGTGGCAGGGCTCCCCCGCCTCCCAGGGGCTGCAGTTTGGAGCTGGCCATGAGAGACCGTGTCCACTCTGAAGCCCCAGGCCAGCAGGACTTCCCAGCCCCCTGGGACCACCTTGCTCCTGCCACTCCCGGGAAGAAAGGCAGAGGCAGGCAGGCTGCTCACTGCCCATGAGCCAGTCCCGAGCAGAGGCTGCGCAGACCAGAGCCCCACTCTGGTGTCAGGGCCAGGAAGCACACAGGGTCCTCTCCCACCAGGGCAGTCCTGGTGTAGAGGACCCACCCGCTGCAGGAGCCCTGGACAGAGGAGGTCCCGACATAAAGTTGTGGAGTTGGGGCTTCAGGACGAAGCTGGAGGTTTGAGGTGTGATGACTGCATGAACCCACGGCACTGACGGGTGCTCCCGCGCAGACCAGCACAGGGTCCTGCTGCTAGGCAGGAGGTGCGTAGGAAGGAAAAGGTCTGGGAGTAGACAGCGTGGGACAGCAGGAGAGAGGGGAGGAATCCGCTAGGCCCTGTCACTGTTTGGAACCAAGCCCCCTCTTCCGTGCCCAGAGGGAGGAAGGGGGTAGAGGGTGGGACCTGGCTGCCACCTGTGTTCACCGACACAGGCCAGGGGCCACCAGGCTGAGGCGCTTGGCCCGGTGGGAGGATTCTCAACATCCTGGATGGTCCGTCCATCATACAGGGTGGGACTGGCAAAACGGGGAAACCCAGGCAGGCACTGTGTGTCTTCTCCTGAGTGTCCTGCTCTGGGACGGGGTGACCGGAGGGTGGAAGTGGGAAGAAACCCCAGGATTTCTGGGCCTCCAGGAAACGCTGTGGCTGAGCCCACTGTTGAGGCCATTTTGCGTGGACTTGGTTCCCGCAGCCCACCCGCCATCCCTGCACCCTGCTGGCTCAGATGCACAGCCCTTTGTTCCCAGAAGCTCAGTGAGACTCAGAATTAGCATCACAAAGGCTATGTGAGGGCCATGGAGGGGGTGCTGGGGCCCCGCCCCGTGAGTGTGTGTGTGTGTGTGTGTGTGTGTGTGTGTACACCTTGTGAACATTTGTATATGTGTGAGCTCTGCAGGTCTTTGCAGAATGTTACAGGTGTCAAAATCATCTGCCATCTTGAGAGCCACCTTGAATGAAACCTTTTCCTTCTTTGAATCTGGTAAACACCCAGTGACTGAGAGCATCTGTAAGTGAAATTTTTCAAATTATAATTTTGTGATTAATTTTAAGGGGTACAACATGCTCAGTGAGTGGCCTGTCCAGGGATCCATATTTCTCAGTAAGTTTCAGCAGGTGGATTGGAATACACTGCCTCAGGGCCCATGGCAGAGGGTGGGATGGCCTGTTCTCCTAGCTTCTGTGTCCCAGGGTCCTCAGCAGGACTCCAGACTGCAGGTGCCCAGCGCCTGTCTTTCCTTCGCCTTAACCCCCTCCCCTCTCCTCCCTCCCTTCCTTTTCAGGTATTAGGGGTTGAACCCAAGGCCTTTGCACTGAGCGACAGTACATTGTCAGTCCTTCTGTATTTTACTTTTGTTACCTGGGCTGGCTTGAACTTGGGATCCTCCTGCCGCATCCTCCCAGAGTGCTGGATTATAGGGCTCTGGGTGCAGTCCCCACTCAGCCTAGCACAGCACCTGGACACCACACAGCAGGGAGGGCAGAAGGCAGAGGCGAATGCAGGACTCAAACACCAATCCCTGTGGGGTCAGATGGGCTAGGAAGGATGGGCAGGACCAGTCCCTGCATGACAGGTGTCCTCTTGTGGGGGGGACAGAGGCCTGGCCACCTCTGGGGAGCAGGAAGTGAAGGCCTCCACAAGGGCCACCTGTTGGCCCTGGTGTCTGGTGCTCAGCCTGAAGCCCAGCTGGAGGGCGGCATGGGATGAGGGCCCCAAGGCTGTGAGCAGGACTGGCCCGTGTTGAAAAACCCTTGCCATCACCAGGTGGGAGTGAGAGCCCCTGAATTCCAGGACTCCTGTGCAGATGCTGTTAGCTGGCTCTGTGGTCACGTTCTGGGGAAACTGAGGCTGGGTAGTCTGTGGAGCTGGATGGAAGAGGTGGGACTCTGGGCAGCCTGTGTCCCCCACTCCTCCAGCCAGCACCCCTGAGGCCTGGTGCTGTCCTGGGTGACAACCGCCCCAAAGCAGGTCCAGCTCTGCTGTGTAGCACTGGGGCTGAACCCAGGGCCTTTGAGATGAGTTACATCCCCAGCCCCCTCCTCTCAGTAAGTCCCTAAGTTGACCAGGTGGTCTTGAAATTTCGATCTTTCCGCCTCAGCCGCCCAGAGGGCTGGCATTACACATGTGCACCACCAGACCTGGCTTTAATTTGTAGTGTTGAGTTACGGAAGATTTCTGGCCACGGCAGGACGAGCCCGTGGGGGAGGCCAGTTCTGCTGCTGTTCCCAGGTGCCTGCTGGGTGGGCGGGAGGATGGCACAGATCTCCAGGCTGGGCTCCCCCACTAGCTCTCGCTCTTACCGGTGACCAGGGTGACAGCTTGGGCTCCTACGAGCCAGTCCTCCTCCTCCCACCCCAGCCACCCCAACCTTCTGGCACAAGGGCCTGGCTTTCCCCAGGGGGTGAAGATGGACAGCAGAGTGTCATATTCTCCTGAGGAGCTGCAGCCTCACCCCTGGTGTCCTCGCTTGACCCAGGAGGAGCTTGGTGGGACGGGAAGCTGAGCTCCTCCATGAGCGCCCTCCTTCCACGCAGCCCGGCCAGGGGTCAGTCAGTATCCTGCCCAACACCCTGTCCCCGGAAGATGGTGGGGCTCGCGCTCACTCAGCCAAGGTCTCCAGCGGGGCGGCTGCCCGCCACGTGGCCCTGTCTCCAAGGGTGCACTGAGGAGGCCGCCAGGCAGGGCCCAGCATGCAGGGTCCCACACTGCTAGGACAGCAGGGGCCGAGAGAGTGCACAGGGACGGTGTCCATGTCCCAGACTCCTAGCACAGGTTCAGAATCTTCCGGGACCGGGAACAAACTGCTCAAAGGCTGGGGCTGGAGGCCCCCTCTGCACAGCCAGCAAGTTTCGGGGTTTGACCCCAACACCAGAACAGCTCTCTGCTCTTAGCAGAAAATGAGGGAAACTTAAATGAGCTTATGAATTTACAAAGAAAAGGAGCCGGTTTTGTTCTTTATTGTAAGCAGACACAGGAGTCCCGCTTAATCTACAAAGTTTGGTATCATTAAGGTTACCAAGTTGTCCTTTATCTACAGAAATAAAAGTTACAAACAGTAGCATACAAAATAAATTTTACAGAAATGTTCAATTTGGTTTAATTCACAATTTAAAGTCTTAAAGCAGGTTATGAGTCATCACTGTTGGAGAATGATTTATGTTAAACGCACCTACTCTATTTAATAACTTAAAAATAAACTCTGGTGTTTATGATGGTGACAGCTACAGCTACCAATCATGGGAAATACATTTTTGAAGTCTCTGTGATTACATTACATAATGAATGGACATTTTAAATGGTAATGCAGACACACATTATAATTTTAAGTCAGAGACAATATATGCATATTAAAATTCTTTCTCAATAAGGTAAAAAATAAAGCTATATAAATTGACTTTAGTTTTTTTTCTGCAAAAGTAGAATCATACTTTCATAATACTTCCAACCTATCTTCATTAAAGCTTTGTTTATGGACATGCTGTCCATGATTCTCATTCCTGTTCACCTACTCTCTAGCTAGAAGAAAAAACATAAATAAACAGATTGCATTCGCCAACTGGTATTTTTTTTCTGGTTTTTAAAGTTATAGGTAACTCCCAAGGGAAATGTAGAATGCAAGGACTTGCTGTTGTACTGTGCCAATAAATAATATCATGGTCAATTAAAAGTGGTTGTGTGAGTTCCACACCAGCCAGGGTGGTCGCCTGAACTTGGTGCTCAGAGCCCAGGCCGGCGACTGCGCGAGACCTGGGCCGACACCTGGGCTGACACATCTGTCAGCTCGGCCTCGTCTCCTCTTCCCACCTCCACTTCCGTGGCTCCTCTTGGCCCGGGCATGGCCTTGGCCAGCGGCACTTAGACTGGGTGGCAACGTCTGCCTGCCCACGTACCTCTGGCCCACAGCCCCTTGGAGGCGCGGAGAGAACGCTGCTCCAGCTGGGGCACTGGACTCCCAGGTGGATGTGCTTGGCCAAGGTTCTGTGGTGCTGCTCAGAGCCCTCGTGCAAGTGCGGCCACACCGACTTCGCAGGATGAAGGTGCGTGTGTAGATGCATGTGTGTGTGTCTAGGGGCTTGATGGTCCCGGCCTGGCCAGAGCTTCCACCCAGGGACTTGAGGGAGAGGCAGGAAGTGTGGGATGTAGGACAGCATGTGTGTTTGTGTGTGTGCATGTACACGAGCTTGCACACACAGTGGCTGTGAGTGAACAGGGAGCGGACAGTGGGAGCACACGCATGTGCGCGTGAACACACACATATAGCCAGGTCACTGGTGTGAGCAGGGGACAGCGTGTCCTGATGTGCAGGAAGCTGTCAGCTGACCGCCTATGAACATGTACAGCAGCAGATGGGTTCAGACCCAGGAAAACGCTTTGGCTGGGGTCACTTGGGTTAGGGTCCATTTAAGGCGAGCAATAGCAACCTCAGTGAGGTGGGCGTCGCATCAAACCCATCTGAGGTCACTGTCCTGTGGCTTTTTCCCTGCTGACTTTTCTCTTGTGCCCTCTGTTTCAAACAATCAGGCACACACATCATTCCTGCAGCACGTCTGAGAGACACTGGAGGTTGGAGCGGTGCCTCCTCATGCAGACTGGGGTTACGGAGAGAGAGCGGGCTGCCCCACACAGGCCGAGTGGGGCAGGGGAACGAAGGGTGAGGATGGAAATGGAGAGAGGAGCGAAAAGCAGGCGATGCTGCCAAGGAGCAGAGCAGATTACTGTGCTTACACTGCACCCCCGGGTGCCAAGGGATGAGGAGGAGAAGAAAACGAAATCTGAAAATTCACATTCATCAGCCGTCAGCCAAATTCTTGGAATTTAAATGCAAAGTGGCCAAAATTTCATAAACTTAAAAAAATGAAAGCTTTAAAAACATACTTTAAAAATTAGATGATATGTTAGCAAATAAACAGATAAAAGAGATATAAACAGCTATGAAAATACTTCAGTGCAAAGGCAATTTTAAGATTTCTAAAAAAATACATTACAAATAATTTGTTAACTAAACATACAGAGAATCTGTCCCCCTACAGGTTTATACATTTGTACACACTTTGGGTTCTTAAAAAGGGCTGTAAAAATGCACGCTGTCTGCAGGTCAGCGTGGACCGACAGCCGAGCACGGCGCCCCACGCGGACGGAGACGGCACTGTGGGCCGTGGCCAGGCAGGTGACGTGGAGGGGATGGGAAATGGGAAGGTGGAGGCAGCCTGGATGGCGGCGTCCTCCTCCTCTCTTCTCGGCAAGATGTGACCCCAGCTCTGGTAGGCGCCCTGCGCTCGCCACCTGGCTGCTGACCTGGCCCCAGGCCTGGGTGAGGACAGGAGTGGGAGCATAGCCAGAGGCGGAGCGATCTCCAGCACCTGCATCCCGCTGGACGCCTGCAGGTGCAGGGCTGGCTCCTCTGGCTGCTGGCAGGGGCTTTTCTGCAAGGCCTTGTGCCCTGGACTGAGGGCAGCCTTGAGTGGTATCTTCCCTATGCTGGGACCATTAAGGCTACGGAACACAGATCCTTCTGGGGATGCAGACAGGTGGAAGTCACAGGGGCATCACAGTGCAGCAGCCTTCTGACGGCCTGGACACCCTGGTTAGACCTGGACAGACCCTAGGATGGCCAGGCCCTGAAGACAGCCTGCACAGGGGTACGCGGAGGTGGCTGAACTTTGGACTGCACGTGGACGTGACCCACATCAGCCCAAGATGGGCCCCCAGGGACCGTCCAGCTCTCAGTGGGAACACAGCCAGCCTGACCACTGTCACAGATCTGTCCCAGGGCCTCACGCCACCGCCCCCAGCACCTGAGGAAGGAACACTTTGCAGGTAGGGAGCTGACATCATCCCAGGCTTGTTGGGGGTGGACATTGCTGGGATCCTGCAGCGGCCTGGCCAATAGCGAGCCTTTCCCACAGTGGACACGTTCCATTCCACAGGGCAGTGGGTGGTGTAAGGAGGACCCCAATCCCTCTAAGGCCCAGCAATGCAAGGGCAGCCTCTCCTCAGCAGACCAAAGGCTTCCCAAAGCGGTGCAGTGCACAAGCAGAGCAAGACTGCAGGTCGGGTTGGACCCACAGCCGAGGTCCTCTGTGGCCCGTTCCCAGATCAAAGTGTGGCGGTTCTGCAGGAGGGAGGTGCAGAGGGGTGTCCAGGAGCGGTCCACGTGTGGGAACGCCATGGTGCAGGAGACTGAGGCCAGAGACAGCTTTTCCGAGCAATCACAGCAGACGCTGAGGACAGGAGGGTGGCACATGGGCAAGCCGGGCAGAGGCCCTGTATCAGAGCCCCATGGGTGCTGGCAGCAACGATCACAGGGTGACCCATCCTCATCTTCCCAGCTTGCACCTCAGGGCTGCCCTGGGCACTCCGTGTGCCATCATGTGGGCAAGCCTCGACAGGACGCCGGGGCTGTGATGGGGGCAGGGGCGGCCTGGGTGGGCAGGAGCACGGCATACTCCTCACTCCTCCAGAGCACGCACGGCCCCTTCCTGGGTGGCGGGCTGTGCAGGGCGGCCATGGACCTGGGGGCCCGAGTACCCGGGCTCCACAGGGAGGCAGGAGGGGAGCGCTCTGGACTGCCATCCTCACGCTGCACTTTCTGCCGGAAATGAGACACAGTCAGACTAGGGGCCTGCTCAGGAACACGCAATGCTGCCCTGCGGCACCCCTGTCCTAAGGGAAGGTCACAGGGCCCCCGTGGAGCTGCCTGCAGAAGCAGCGTCTCCACATCTCGGCACAAACCCCACCACTTTGGTGCCCAGGTCGTGGAAAGAACAGGGAGGGCAGGGCTGAGGGGCCCAGCTGGTGCACACAGAGACAGCCACATGGCAGGTGCCACCTGCGGACGATGCTGGTCCAGCTGGACATGGACTGGGCTGCATCCAGGGTGCCCCCGACACACAGCTCTCCTCTGGGTTCCAGACAGCTCTATCTGACTGGCTTTTAGGTGAAGCAATTCCCACCACTAAGGGTGGGGAACCAGTGCATGGGTGTGGAGAGGTGCTGGCCACACACGTGTGCATGTGTGTGCGTGGCGTGCTCCCTGTCTCAGCTCCCTCTCGGGCACACCACTCACCTGGGGAAGCAAATGCACCATGTGCAAAAGGGGTGCTGTTTTTGCACAGTGAACCTCTGTAACCAAACCCGGCACAGCACAGCAAAACTTTGGAGGAAAAACAGTGCAGAGTCACAGCACACCGGCCTCGCCCAGCGGGCAATGGCCGCACGTTACCTAGCGCTGCGCTAGCGGCGCCTCGACTGGGGCAAGAGGTCCTTCAGCAGGGGCCTGTCGCGGCTCGGCGTGGCGTCGGCCGGTGCTCTGTGCTGCACACGCCTCTGCAAGGGCGAGGGAGACACGGATGTGCAGGGCTCGGAGCTGGAGCCGGCGACCGCACCACAGAGGCGGCCCCAGTCCCTCAGCCGGAGGGCCCCACACGGGCTCTGGTCACGCGCAGCTCACTATACTCACGCGTGCTTGGCAGGGCCAGGGGCCAGCAGCTGGCCACCCTGTGCCCAGCAGACTGGGTGCCTGCATATGGGTTTTCAGTCTCACTGCGCTCAGTCACAGGAGAATAGGCTGAGGGTCGAAGAGCGGCAGGAGAATAGGCAGAGCCGTGAGTGTCGGGGGGGACAGACACGAGCCAGAGTGGGGACAGGGACAGCAGGTCAGTATGCAGCAGAGACAGGGCTGCGTGCACATGTATGGTGCCATATGCATGAGCCACGTCCATGACACATACATGCCTGTGTGCAGACAGGAGCAGGCTGAAAGGACCCTGTCTGCCCGGAGGCCGGCTCTGCCCACTGTGGGCCACCAGGACTATTCCTCCAAAGTTTTGCGGAGCAGAGCGTTCACTTGTGTGTGCACAGTGCATGTGGCGGCAGGGGCCAGAGGTCAGGGCACAGCTTGCGTGGCCTCCCGCACACACACAGAAGCCCTTCAGCTCCCGAGTGTTGTTGTTTAGCCCGAGCTGCTGGGACCTGATCAGCGCCAGGGGCAGCTGGAGCCGGCACTCGTCCCGGTGACTCCTCAGCTGCCCTCAGGTTGCAGACAGGGAGCTGGAGTCATGCACTTTATTCTCAGCAGCTCTGATGGGCCAAAATGAAAAGTCTGGGTCGCTGATAGTGACTGGCTTTGGACAATGTACTACCTTGGTGCATAAAAAACAAGATGGCTTATCATTAGGGAAGCCTGGCTCCGTGGCCACGCTGAGCCGCGTGCTGTCACCGTGTTTCCTGATGTGGCGGATGCACTGGGAAGCCCACGGGGTGGCCGCCATCCTGAGTGCACCCACGCCATCCTCCCACATGCGCAAGAAGGCGGAGAAGGTCACCTGGTCAGAAACTCAGACCGCTGGAGGTCTGGGAAAGCATAAAGACGGTGGGCTGCTCAACGGAAAGGCACTGGTTCCTAGCCTGCCAGTCCCGCGTCCGGAGCCGGCGGGAGCATGGACACAAGTAGTGGTTATTTAGGCAAAGCAGGGGAAGACAGGACAGGGAGAGAAGAGAGACAAGAGAAGTGAGTCGGTTACCGCGGACACATCCAGCACACATACACACGGGCTCTGCCCTGCAGCCTCCCTCCCTGCTGCCCGACTTCCCTCTCCCCTGCCAACGTCAGATCCCTCCTCTGTCGCCTGGCTAAAGGCAGACTGCCATTTATAGAGGCCGCTGCCTGTGACCTGCAGAAGTTGCCAGTAGCAGCAGGGCCTGCTCCTGAGGAGGGGTGAAGTTTCCCAGGACGCCACCAATTTGAAGGGCGGTTATGGGTGAGGAGGTTATGTGTGAGGTTATGGGTGAGGTGAACCTGAGTGCACATGGCTGTCTTCATACTGAACATGTGTCCGCCGTCATGGGCACGGGGTGTCACCATACACACACGTCTGCTGTCATGGGCACTAGTGCTGTCATAAGCATGCCTGCCCCTGGGGACCATGCACAGGTAGGGCCACTACTCTGAGGCCTGGGAGGTCGTGTCCTGAGCCTGCTGGCAGCAGCAGCAGCAGGTATATCCCAGGGAGGCTGGAGCTGGAAGCCTTGGTCCACAGTGAGACCACACAAGGCTCCAGAGAGCTCATACACTGGTCCTGCTGAACCTTCCAGGTGGTGTGGGTGGTCTGTTCAGCCCCAAGCAGACATCTGTGTCCACCCGAACAGGCTAGCGGGCACTCTGGGGATGCGGTTCCACTTCCCCACATCCCCTGTACCCACAGGAGCTGTTGTGGCCTCTGCCCTCCTCTTGTCTCTGTCCAGGCCTGCCTCACCAAAAATTTCCCTTCCCTCCCTGGAGAGAAACTGGAGAGCTATCTGCTTCTGTGTTATGCAGCCCAGGCTGTCCTGGCACTCATATCCCCCTGCCTCACCCTCCTGAGAGCAGGATTATAGGTATGTGCACCGTCCCAGGCATGGAAACCTGTGCTTTAAGGAGCTCCTGAGCGGACGGGGGATGGGAAGCCTGGACAAGTTCACGCCTCCTCACCCTGTCCTACTCCTGCCCAAGGGAGGACAGCAATCCCAGCTTCCCTCACATGCCAGGGCGCTGGGCTAGGCACCCTTCAGAATAAGCCAGCTTAACCCAAAGCAAGGGTTAACGTGAATGTTTTGTGGACTGGCAGAAAGTAATTCATCTGTATCAATCTCTGTCCTATCCTTTGTCATAACTCAGCTGTTACTCTAAACACTGGAGTAGAGCCGGTCCTCTTGGGTTTTAGCCAATTAAAATGTCTGCCTTAATTTAATGTTTAAGGCACGCATCACTCGGAGGCTCCTGCGCTGGCCTTAGCCTTACCCCATTTGCTCAAAAGCAAACCTTCCACGCTGCCTCTCGGCCCTACCTGCTTCCCACGTCTGGCTGCCCAGCACCTGGCCTCAGCCAGCTCCGTACCTGGGTTCGCTCGGTCGCCGTGGGCCACAGCTGCCTGCACAGCACCTTCTTGAGGACATCAGGGAGGAGGCTGACGGAGATGAGCAGGATGATGCCGAGCCAGGCCGGCCCACAGGACAGCATGTGCATGAACACGTAGTACATCCTCTGGTAGCTGAGGAATGGCCTGCCGGGGTGGCCCAGCATTAGGCTGCACTGCCCATGCTACACCTCGCCATGTCGCTCCCACCAGCTGCCTCCAACTCACAGTGGGAAACAGGATGGAAGCCTGCTCTAGGGTGCTGTGGGCCCTCATGTGGGACAGGGAGAAGGACGTATATGATGTCGGGCCCGAGGAAACAGGAGCCCCAGAGTTCAGTTTGAAACAGGAAAAGCAGCAGGATGGGAAAGGGCGGTGGCTCCCATCATGGCCTGGCCACGGATGGGAACTTGTTCTGGTTTAGGTCTAGATCCTGTGGCAGCCTCCTGCACTCCAAGGTGGGGCCTTTCGAAGGTGACTGGATCCTGGGACTCATAGCAGACCATCAGGAGGAGGGGCCTGGGGAGGTGAGCGTGGCCTGGAAGGGTTCACTTCCTTCCCAGCTCCTCCCTCCTCTCCCTGCTTCCTGTCAGCCCTGCCCTGAGCAGCTCTCCTCCACCAGGTCCCTCTGGCCTGCTGTCCTGCCTTGGAGCCAGCTGACTATGGACTGAAATGTGAGCCACAATAAACCTCTCCTTCCTTAAATTGTGGGTGTCAGGTGTTGTGTTCCAGCAAGGAGGATGGAGACTAAGACAAGACCAGAGGAGAAGGCAGAGCCCTGAGCACCAAAGCAGGGGCTCGGGACACACAGCACGGAGGGCCCTGGAAGCTGGGGAACTTGTGCTGTGCTGACTCTGGCCTGGGCAGCTCCTGAGAAGAGGATGGGACCAGAGCTGGTGGCTTGCTCTGTCCTGCCTGTGGTGTCCCTGCCACATCATGGGCAGCTGGGCCCTCTGCGGACGGCGCTGGTGCCTGTGGACTGGTGGCCCCAAAGCACAGTGGGTCAGTGAACTCTCTACACCCTCACCTCAGGTGTGGTGCTACAGCAGCAGAGCCAGCCCATGACACCCAGGCATGGCACATGTGTGCAGCATACACGGAACCCACCCAGACCCAGCACAGAAGATGGGGAACCACACACAGCTCCCAGAGCCTCACCAGATGATTCCTCCCCAGAGCAGCGAGAAGACGACGTAGAAGAGCAGCGACCCCCAGATGACAAAGTGATTTATCCACGTCCAGTAGTGCGTGTCCAGTGCGAGCTGTGGGGACCGGGTGAGGGGCAGCCAGGCACTTCAGTGGATGCAGAGTGGCTGCAGTGTCCCAGAAAACAGCCACCCAAGCCCAGGGTTGCCAGCCGGGCCAGGAAGCAGCAGAGCCCTGCTGGATACCATTCCCGGGAGGACACAGGGAGGAGGACGCAGGTCCTGGGCAGCCACCAAGCACTTCTCCTGGGGCTGGTGGCTGTACTGAGAAAGCTGCCTGCATCCAAGATTCCCTCAGATGGGTTTGGGGACTGCCATGATGCTGTTTTACACAGACTCCACCGGCTTTCCAGTGTTCAGGCTCCCGTAACATTCACTTGTCTAAATTGTTCTGATTACAATGGGATAGGGCTGCTTGCTGTTTGGAAGAATGCTGACCAGAATCCTCCCTTCACTCTGGCACCCTGGAGGCCCGAGGGCTGCATGGCCCAGGTGTGCCAGGACCCTGCCCCTCTGGAGTTAAACCCAGGTGGGCCCTGTGGGGTGCTGTGTGGACAACGGTCTGGGAGTTCAGCAGGTGAACTGTGGCCACCACTCACCTTCAGAGTGACCGTGAACACCATCACAGTGAACACCAGCGTCCCAAAGGTCCAGTTCCCAAACATCTGCGGGTGAGAGTCCGAGTGAACCCCTGTCCACGAGCGCCCTGCCACGCCCAGCTGGAGGCCAGGCAGACCTCCCAGCCCTGGGTGCAGCAGTCAGTCCAGACCAGAGCCTGAGCCCAGGGAGCTCAGGGGCCCTGTCAGGCCCTGGGAGCTCAGCCAGCACACCGAGGGCACCGCAAGCTGTGCTGAACACGCACGGTGCACACCCAGGACCTGCCACCTGCTTCCTATAAAAGAAGCTTTTCCTGCTGACCCAGCTGCCTCCCGCCACAATGGACAGCCCATGGCCAGCTGGACATCAGGACATGGAAGGGGACAGCATCAGGAAGGGGATGTGGGGGACAGATGTGACAGATGACAAAGGCTGTGCCTCCACAGCCAAAGCTAAAGACGTAGCAACCAGACCTTGAGAAAGGGGACCAAGAGGGACTAGGACAGGTGGGAGGTGCAGACAAGGCCAAAGCCTGGGGACACATTTCCGGGAACTCCCTGCACTCAGCTGGCTTAGAATCTGTGCCTGCCAGGCCGAGTGGCCAGTCTGCCAGCTCTGGACAGAGCCTCCAACAGGCAGTTCCCAGCAGCTCTCTAAAATAAAGCCAAGCATCACAGGGAACCAAGAAGCTGGAATGCTCCTGGCTTTCCTCTGGTCTGTTTCAATTAAACATATATACATATAAGCCTGTCCCTACAGCCCATGACTCAGTGTCGCTCAGCGTGCGGCCCGAGTCCTGTGACGCCCGGCAGTGAGGACGTCCTTTCAAGATTTGACTCTGACAGTCCGCACGGACTTCTTGGGGTCCCATGGGCAGGGCCATCTCCCTCCCTTCTTGTCTTCACCCTCAAGCTGAGAGCGGCTTCGTCCTTTTGCTAAGGAAATTTGGGCAACATAGTGTCCAGCTCCGCGCGGGGCTTGACCAGGCGGCTCTGCCTGCGGGAGGTGGCTGTGTCTGGAGACGTTTCTGACCATCACTCTGAGGCAGGAGGTGGCAGCGGACTGCTAACCACACAGGACACCTGCAGAGAAGGAGCCATCCAGCCGCCAGGTCCACGGTGCTGCAGCTGGAACCTCAGAAGACGCTCCTCAGGGACTCTGCTGTTAGGGGTGGTGACACTGGGATCAAACCCCGCCCAGCTCGTGCCTACTCACATGTGCTCTACCTCCAAGCTCTGCCCCCGCCAGCCTGTGGTTCACTTCCTGCAGAAGCATCTGGAGACAGGCGGGCCGCTGGGCAAGTGTGCAGTGTCCTGGACCCAACTCCAGCAGGACTTGAGCCACCACCATCATCTGCAGGCAGATGAGGTGCAACTTCCTGTGTCCAGAGCTGAGGGCCCTGAGAGGCACCAAGCTCCCTGCTCCCTGCCCGAGCCCCTTGAGGACCCCACGGGATGACAGTGTAGTGCTCCAGTGCCTTGCTCTTCTCCGTCGAGTCTTATGGTCTGTCACGGGTGTCAACTTCTCCTGGCCTCAGCCCAGACCCTTCCTCTCCCGCCGTTCTTCCCTCCCTGGCTCCCTTCTAGGGCAAGTGTTCCCGGCTGGGTGTTTTCTGCTCACAAACCCGGAACGTGTGCAAAGTTTTCCGCAGCAAACACGATGTGTCAAGGCCATGTCACTTCTCTGCACCCCCGTGCTGACCACTGACCGCTCCCCAATGAGCCACACCCAGGGACTTCCTGACTCCCACTGCGGCTGTTCCCCACCCTGTGCACTCATCTGGAAGCCCTGCCACGCAGCCATGACAGTGGTGTGGACAAGGGCTTTGTCTGTGCCGCCAGGAGAAATCCAGGGTGTTTGACGTCTGTGCAGAAACTGCCCCGCCGCGAACTCTTCCTACAGAGGTTGCCTGCGATCCTCCTGCGTGTCACACGGCATGTGGCCTACAGCATTCCCACAAAGGAGCCACTCATGGGTCCTGCTCACTCCCATGGGCGCCGCAGACTCTCCAGTGTCATAGGGCGGAACAGTGGGCGGCCACTGTGAAGCAGTGCTGCAGGCTCCCCGAGCCTCTGTGGAACCCCCAAGACCCTGTCTTTGGTCCCCGGTGTAGGCTGACACCTGTGACTCGAGCTCACGGCAGCTGTGGTTGACATCTGGCCCTGCACACGCATTGGCTGCCGGAGCCCACTCATGCTCCGCAGGTTCTCCGCACCGTGAGTCACAGTCCCCCAAGTGGCAGGGCTGCAGGCTGCTGGCTGGGCTAGGCTGACAACCCTGCCGGCTCCGTCCTGAGCTCATCCTTCGTTGTTTCAGGCTCACAGATATGTCTGTCCAGGAGTGCTGGCAACAGGCATGTGGTGACAAGCGGGGACGTGGAGTCCCTGACAGCATCCTCCCCGGTGGACACAGCTTCATGGGCTCCAGGAACCTGGTAGGACCCAGGCCAGGGAGCAGAAGATGGTAATGCGGGACCAGAGATGGAAGGGACCTGTGAGGGGTCAGCTGGGAGGTTCTTGGAGGCAAGGCGTCAGTCACCCTCTGGAGCAAGGAGCGGCCCGCTGCCCTCCTCTGTGACCAGTCTTCAGGGCACTCCTGGAGCAACTGTCACTGTTCCGTGCGGTGCTGAGCCCAGGTGACACAGATGGTGTGAGCATCTGGTCCCAGCGACGGGCCCACCCGACTCAGCTCCTTTCCTGACCTCCTGACCAGCACTGTGCCAGGGAGGGACCTGCAGACAGGATGACGTCATGACGGTAAGCATGGGATGAGCTAGGGGACCCGGGCTGTACGCCTGAGGTACACATAGATGCCAGGGCAGGGCCCGACTCAGGATGGGGCCCTTTACTGCATCATGGCCTGAGCACCAGGAACTGTTCAAGCTAAGCTCAAATGAGCAATGAATTCCACAAGAACGCAGAGTTCAGGACAGTGAAACATGTAACTAATTCTCAGGACCAACCCAGTAAAAGTGATGCTACATGAAAGATGACCTTGTGAGGAGAAAACAGGTACAACGGGGGTCAACATCACTAGACACACAGCAAGACTGTCCCCGGTCCAATAGGTGAGGGGACGAACACAAAGAGCGGAGAGGGGTGATACGCACGAAAGCGGCGGGGCCCAGGCTACCCTGGGGGGTGCTGGGAAGCGGCCCCTGACGTCACCAGCAGTCACCCCGGCCAGCGGCGTAGCGTCAGAGGCTTCGGACGTGCCCAGTACTGTGCCTGCTGGGGTAGCTTGGGCCCACCATGCAGAGTCCCTGCTCATGGTGCCATCATCGAGAAAGGCAATGTGCTCGGCCCTGGCTCCTGGAGGCCCTCACAGGGAGGGGAGTCCACAAGACGTGAGAACCACACACAGCTCACTGCCAAGGAGGGCAGGAGCAGGAGCAGGGGCAGGAGGAGCAGCCGACAGCAGCTCGACCCACGAAGCACACGGAGGAGGGAACGAGGGAAAATATTTTCGAAAAATATTTTATTTCTAATGCACTCCAAAAACACAGAGAGGACACACTCACAATCGTCTTACCATGTGTGTGTTGGTGGTCATTATCTGAGGGTGGGAAGGGAAGCGAGTGGCAAAAAGAAAAAAACGAGATACAAATAAAACAAACCCCAGAAAGGATGCAAACAACCGCAGCGGCATGCCCACCAGCACCTGCACAGCTCCGCACAGCCAGGGAGCTGCCTGTGCACACAGGAAGTCCTGCAGCACGCTCCCTACGCCCAGGCCCCGGTCGGGGCTTTGCCCTGGAGGTAACTACACCACTAGGCACCAGCTATTGGGAGCGTCGCGGAGCACCGGGGAAACTGGGAGCACCTTCCCTTGGGGCTGGGGCTGCAGAGCGCGGTACACGCTGGCCTGCGCGGTGGTGACACAGCACAGGTGTGTCCTCCTAACTGGCCACACACCCTCCACAGCGGGCTGTGCTCCTGCCTCACAGGAGGACCATGGGGCTCGGGGCTCCCTGGCAGCCGGCCAGCAAGGCTGTGCCCTGCACTCACCTGCCCATTGCTGGTCACAGTCGTGTTTTCAAACATGAAGTAAGCACCAAAGAAGAAGACCAGGGCATCGAACACCCCCAGGAACGTCCAGTAGATGAACACCCGCCAGCGGAGCAGCGCGTTCTTGGCGATGTCCCTGTGCGAGGACAAAGATGGGCCCAAGAGCAATGCACTTCAGACCACACTGTCTGCACACCTGGTCCCTGAGCTCTGTGACTCACAGATGCCCGGGTCACACCTGTCCTCGATGGACAGTGGCATGGAGCACAGTGCAACGTGCACCAGCAGGAACGGCCTGGTGACAGGGTTTGTCAGCAGCCCACTTGATACTCAGGCCTATGCACCCAGAAATCACCCCGCAGGACAGTGTCCAAGATGGGCACGGGCTCCCAGGCCCCAGGCCTTGGGCCCTGGGTGACAGCCACACTCAATGGAGGAGCGAGGAGGGTGGGGCTCCTGCAGAGGCCCCGGGATGCAGCAGTGGCTCTTGGGCCTGCACACACGCAGACAGCCTGCAGAAGTACACACACATGTGCACACATGCAAGAGGGGTGCAGGGAATCCAGGCTGCCTGAGGGAGGGCGAAGGGCGCCCACGTCAGCTCCTGTGAGCTCCACATGAGGTGTCACGGCAGCGTCCTTACAACTGCACGTGTATCTACGGAACCTGAGTCAGTGTTCATTCACTGAAAGAGACCTCAACACACAGGAACATCGAACCTGACAGAGATCACAGAGGGTACTCTGAAATACCAGAAAAACATCTTCTGCTTATTACTAAAATAAAAAGAAAAAGCTTTTCAAAAGAAAAGAGCACATCATGGTTCAGATCTACAATGTCCCCCAAAGCCTCCTGTGTTTGAAGGTGGGGCTCTGGGACACTGGCCAGACAGTGAGGTGCTGTGCTCACAGTGACTAATAATCTGTCAAAGAGTTCATGGTTGCATGTGCTGTTGGGAGGGGAGCAAGATGGCCTCTGGGAGGGAGCCTGGAAGGGTGTGTTCTTGTCCCCTTGCTCTCTCTGCTCCCTGGCTGCCATGAGCTGAGCAGCCAGGCCCCTCTGCCGTGTCCTTGCTGCCTTGGAGCAGGCTGCCCATGAACTAAACCCTCTGAAGCCGTGAACTGGATAAACTTCTCCCACTGGGATTTGGGCGCCAGGTATGTCCCCAGTGACGGGAAAGCTGAGTACTGTGGAGACACTGCAATCATAACAGAACACTCATGGCTCCTAAAGGTAACTCAGGTCACTGTGTCCTGTGGGCCTCACAGGACAGGGCCTCAGCCTCAGCCCTTCCGTGACACTCAGCAGCACATGCATGCCACACATTTTAAGTGCAGCCCGTCATCTGTCAACCGTGAAGTGTGCTCGTGGAGACGATGTGGCCACCTCTCTGTCACTCCGAGGGAGCCAGAGAACTGGCTGGTCCTGAGCGGGTCCGGCTTTCATATGCCTTCCTCGGGACTGAGCACTGCTCCGCCCTGCGCCTGTGGGGAACGCACCTGTACAGGGATGGGTCCCTCTTAAGCACATCAATGCCCACATGCTGCTCCATCAGGCTGTAGAGCAGAATCGGGAGGGAGGTGAAGCTGATGTTGTAGAGGGTCAGGTATGCGGTATCGTACAAAGTCTGCGGAGGAGAAGCCACGCGAGCATCACGCTCCAGCCCACAGACACCGATGTTCTGACTCAATACAAAGAGAACCACACACACAAAATGCATCTCACAGGCACCAGGAGCCATCTTTCCACAGCTACAGACAGACAGCAGGAGAATTGAGGCCGCACGAGTGTCAGAGTTACAGTCACAGCTGACAGGAGGCCCTTCTGACCTGCCTGTCCACCCCTGCAGACGCCCCAGGGGAAGCCTGCAGTTCTGGTCACTCCCTCCCAGCTCGGGCTGCCTGGTTCTGCTGCTACAGATGAGAGCAGCTGGCTCACTGTGCCCATCTGAGTGATGGGCAACACCGGTGACAGGACAGGCAACTGTCTGGGCATCAGGTGCCAGGAGCCTTCTGGTCCCTACCCACAGTCAGACCCCGAGGTGAGCAGAGCCCTGGGCACACAGGCGTATGGCCAGAGCCCAGTGACACAGGGTTGCCCGGGGCCCTGTCACTCCCGGGCCTGCGTCTAGGAACGCATTGGCTTCTCACCCTAGGGGCAGCAGAGGACAGGGCCTGGACTCCTCCCCACCCCATGTACCCCTGGAGGCCTCGCCTCTGCAGCTACCTGCTGGGGTCAGCAGGGCACAAGATGAATGTACTCACACACTGCACTGACCTGTTGCGAAAACCCACAGAAGAACTGGTATAAAAACTGGGGGAAAATGAAGCAGACATTCTGAAAGACAAGGCACAGCCATGGTTACTCATCCCCAAGAGTGGCATCCCAGTCTTTGGCCTCGCAAGCCGCCCTTACAAACACCCTCTTCATGGAGGGACTGACCTAGGCGGCCCCAGGTTCCCTAGGGTGCTGAGGACAGGCTCAGGAAGTTTCCCCTCACCCCAATGGCAACGAAGATGTCTGCATTCTGGGCAGGGGATCACAGACAAGGCACAGGGGATGCAGGAGTCAGAGTGTAGGAGGGCAGCAGAGGTGAGAGCCACCAGGTTAGGGCTGCCCCGCAGAAGCCGCAGCAGCCACTTCCCGCTGGGCCACCATACACGCGGGGGACCGAGGAAGCTGCTAAGGTCTGCTCGCAGCCACTGGGCCAACCCCTTCTTTCTGACAGTACTTTGTTTTAGATAAGTGACCCGTGGCGGCATCGCGCCATCCCCAAAAGTGTTGTGCCACTGTGTGAATTTACCACATGCCTGAGATGGGCGCAGAGCGATGCCTCCTACCTTATAAAAGAAGTATTGCACAAGCTCAGATATCCTAATGTAATAAAAATGCCCGTGAACAAGAAGCATCTTCTTTAAATGCTTGAATTTTGGGATTGCATAGTCGCTGTTCCTTGCAGCCTGCCGGCCCTCCTTCCCAATGACACCTAGGAGGAAGAGGGGCTGCGTTTCTCCGGTGCTCTGCACATTGTGACACTGCCACTGCCTGGGTGAGGTGACTCACGGGGTCCCGGGATTTGCTGCCCCCCCAAGTGGCCGTGGCTCACCTATGCCCACGTGGGCCTCCAGGATCATGCTGACATCGTTCGCGCCGTCACCGATGGCCAGTGTGATTGGGTGCTCTTTGGAAAATTTGATTAGCTTAACAATCTGGAAAAGAAAGAGCACAGGGCTTATCTTCACGGTTTCATTTCTGCTGGTCAGTTCACTAGGCTGAACTAGCAGAGACCGAACATTAGTCTAGGAAAGGGAAAACAGCTTGCTTAGTGCCAACTTTTGACACTCATCTGTTCTTCCACATAGGATAAAATCTGCTTCACGTTGGAAGCCAAGCAAAGTGAAGTAGAAGTCACTAAGCTGGACCGCAGTGACCTGGAACAATATTCATGGATTCACTATCTGGGGACAGAGGGGACCACATCTGCAAGAAGGTTTCTATCGTACAGCTAAGTTTTGAAATAAGCGATTCCTGATGCTATTGTAATTTTCAAACTTATCATGTGTGCAAAATAAAATCTGGCAACTTAACAGTCGTCCCAAGTTTTCAATTCAGTTCTTTAGTTACTTTTCCCCCACACATCTAAGTGTATAGGCTTTGGATGTTTGGCTGTGAAGAAAAAATGGCGTGGATTGTCTCCTTGCTTCAACAAGGAAGCTGGGAAAATAAATCCATTCAACTTTTCTAAGATCATTCAAGAGCTTAACAAATACAGTGCTGTTCTGGAAATCGCTTTGCAAGGCCTCCACACTGCTGGGCAAACAAGAGGCAGAAAAGAGACCGAGCCACTGTGTCCCAAATGGGAGGCGTTGAACCCCAAGAGCTGTCTGGCACCCTCGTTTCTGTCCCTGACCTGTAGGCACAGCACATGCTCACGGGCCAAGGTCACCTGTGAGGTGGTTCATCCTCATAGCCAGGCCAGTTCCTCTTGTGAACATTCAGTCAACTGGCCGCCTCTACCTAAAACGTGTGACCAGAGATGGCTATCTTCCAGGCTTACAGATGCGGGAAAGACACCGGTCTTTATGCCTGTCATATGCATTTTCCACAATGCATTGCAAGTATTTAAAAAAACACTGCAGGTGTGTTTCCCACAAGAGCACAGGGCACGGGGAGAACGCGAGGCCAGAGTCGGGAGATGAGAGCCATACCTCCACTGCTGCCTGCAGCTGCTCACCCTGTGCGAGGCCCTCCGATGGGCAGGCCAGAAAACCCTGGCTGCCTATTGCGCCAAGGCCAAGCAGGGTCCCTGTAGGCAGCACGCATCAGGGCTCCAGGATGCCAGCCCTCCCTCGGGACAGCCAGGGCCTGGAGGTCACACGAGTCCCTACCCTCCCTTGTGGCTGTGGGTGACGTAAGGTCCAGGCTGTAAATCTGTCATTTTCCACAAGGCACCGCCTTGCTGGACAGAGACTCGGGCTGCAGCACCCCTCGAGGGTCCTCCCATGCCATGCCACCCCACCCCGGGACGCAGGCGGGACCTGGGCCTTCTGCAGGGGCGCCATCCGGCAGCACAGCACAGCGCTGCAGTTCCGGCAGATGTCCAGGAAGAGCTCACGGTAGTTGGCGGAGCTCCCGTCTTCACGTGGCTTCATGATCAGGGACAGCGCCGCTCCGTCGATGATGAGCCCATAGTCGTGCATATCTGTGGAAAGCCTGCAAGAGGACGCAAACCAGAAGGGTCACTCGGTCACTAATCTCTGACCGGCACAGTCTACTTCCAGGCAACTAGAGATGTTATTAAGAAAGTAGCATTTCTCGTTCCATTAACAGAACCTTTATAGTACTGGCTTCACACTTTGACCACATGGAGAAACTGTCTTAATCAACACTTAGGGAAGTCGAGTGCACAGCTCTCTGGACTTGTGTGGGGCGGCAGGTGGGGGCAGTCTTTATCTTGACTTGCGGCCCCTGCAGCTCACTCACAGTACCTGCCCTGCTATGGTGCCCTGGGCTTTCTGCCAGTACGACCTGAGCTAGTAAGAACGTGCTTGAAATTTTCTCTTTGCCAGACTTCAAAATTACAAAGAAACATCTCTGACCCTGGAAAGTTCTGTGGAACAGGCGAAGAGGATGCCTTCACGTTATGTGGGTGTAATTCCAAGTGTGTGTATGATTTGGGAGCGTATTTGCTTTACCCACATGCAGGAGAGTCCAAAGTCATCCGAATGCAACCTCATCTCAGAATACAGTCAATGAAGGGAAGGATGGCACCGGGAAAAGGAGTCCGCCTAAGCTGCAGACGACCCCAGGAGGGGTGCTGCCCTCACACGGCTGGCCCGGACTAACCACTGCCCGGGAACCCCCACTACGCCCAGCAGCGTGAACCCGTGGTGCACACGTGTGCAACACACCCTGCCCGGGTGGAGGTCTAAGCCTCGTTCAGCAGCCCCCCAGGCCCCGGCCTGAGCCTGACTCGGGAGCGGGGCACCACCCACCCTGAGAAATGGTCCCGCGTCAGGCTCCCGCTGCAGCGCAGCACAGTCTTGCTGAGCTCGAAGAGCACGTCGTGCAGGCTCTGCTCCTCGATCCTCTTGGTGGTCAGTTCCAGCAGCTGTGTGCCCCTGCGGAAGAGCCTGCAGGCATAGCAGGTGGCTGCTGCCGTCTCCATTTTGTCCCCCGTGAGGACCCAGACTTTGATACCGGCTTTCTGCAGCGCCTCGATGGTGTCTGCAGCTTTCTCCTGGAGTCTGCACAACAGAAACCGGACAGATGCAGCCATCAGGGCTGACACACACAGCTGAGAGAGGACGTCAGGATCTGGACGCTTTAAAATTAGTTTAGGGCTGAGCATGGTGGCACACACCCAAACCCGGCACTCTGGGAGGCTGAGGAAGGAGGACCGCAAGTTCAAGCTCAACCTCGGCAACCTGGTGAGATCCCGTCTCAACAGTCAAAGGGCTGAATATGTGGCTCACCATGAGTTCAAGTTCAGTGCTCAAAACTAAAAAAGAATTTAGTCTCCCAGAGTTGGAAAGCCAGACTGTACTGGCTCAGGATTCCAAAAATAGGAGTTGATGCTTTACAGCCCCTAACCTGTGTGGCAGGCAGACACAGGTGGGAGACTCAGGAGGGAGCGTGGCTGCGGAGTGACCACCATGTGGTCAGCACTTCTGCTGGCCAGCAAGGACTCACTACGGGGCGAGGCTTTCAGGCAAGTATAAGGGTCATGATGACCAGCAACTGTCATGCACTGTTCCACCTCCGGCCGTGTCCACCTGTCCGTCCCACCAGGCTCCACACGTCTGCTCCCCCACCCTCGAGGATCAGTGCCCCCGTCCCCAGCCGACAGCATCCTGCTGAACCACTGAATGACCAGTGGGGTGCCTAGCACTGCTCACCAAGCCTTTCTGTAGTGCACACGGGCGGCCAAGTCCTCACTCCGGGCTGAACGAGGGAACAGGACCTAAACAAAGCCCATCAACCAAACCCAGACTACCCTACTGTCCAGTTCCCACTTGAGCTGAGAATCCAGGGTGTGGCTTGAGGGCCGTGGAAAGGGGGTCTTGGAGAGAAGAACTTAGGGCTCGGGTCTAAGACATTAGACTTTTTGGTGATAGCCACTTCCCAGGGACAAGGGCTCAGCCTCTCAAGTCCCTGCGTCATTGGTGTAAGCTGGGTGTGTCTTTTCGTCTTCCTTCACTGTGAGCTCAGTCTTCTCTGTGCAACTGGGAAGCTAGAAGCTCTTTCCCTGGAGACTGGGAAATCTGTGCTTGGTAATTTCACCCCTGTAATTCCCAGTTTTTACAATACTCCTTCCAGTTCCTTCAACAAGCAGTAACATACATATTGAGGCTATTAAGATCTAAAAAGTAACTCCTGCATTCAGATGAACTAGCAATAACTCAGGAACAGAATTAGTTACTAACTCCATCCCAAGGGATAATTAAAAAATGGTAGATCTTGATTTCCTAGCATGATGTGAAAGTAGTTCCTACTATTTTCCTGAGAAGTATGATTTCACTCATCGTATCTGTGGACACAAAAGCAACCTGCACGGTGACTGCTGGGCTGTCACTCCAGGCAGGCAGGCAGACAGGGCAGTCTCGCTGGTAACATGGCCTCCATCCCACCCCATCCTCGCCGCCCCTGCCACAATGTTGGTCCTCACCGGTCCTCCACAGCCGTTGCACCGAGCAGAACGAGGTCCTTCTCTATCTGCTCGTAGGCCTCGCCCAGCTTCTTGTCCCGGTCCTGGAGCGCCACCTTGGCAGCCTGCAGCAGCCCACAGACAGCCTCATACTCCTCGGGGACGAGCCTCTTGTAGGCCACACACAGCGTGCGCAGCCCCTCCTGCCAACACAGTGCAGACGCCGCGTGACCTGCTGGAAGTGCTGTCTCTATGCCCACGAACCGGGATGGGAAGCCAGTATCTGAACCCAACCACCCTGCACTACTACCGAGGCATCGGTGTCCCAGTTACCACAGATCTAGAGACCTGAGCAACTACGACCACAGGGGCCCTTGCCCCGGAAGACTTGCTGCTCTACCCTGATGAGCGTGATGCTCCGTTTAACCCGTGCAGGATAACAATGCCCCATTTCGAAAGTGGGTTCCTAAGGCACAGGTGCTATGTGGGGGTGGGGTGCTTGGCACTCGATGCGGGGCCCTGGGAGTCGCTGACCAGCACCAGTGCGTACACAAGTTTCTCACAAGGGACGGGGCAGCTGTTCAGACTGTGATGCCACACTGACCCTTCCATCAAATTGGACAGCCCAGTGCCCGTCCAGGAGTGAGGATGGACACACTGTGGCCTGTCCCTCGATTTGCCACCACCCAGGAGAAAAAGGATTAAACGTGGGCGCCCATACCCAGGTAGGTGAATCTCAAAACAGCTTGTGTCCAGGGCAAGAAGCCACCTAAATACTTCAGGCTTTATGATCCCACGGACATACAAGGCTCAGCAGTGAGCCCCAATCTTCCAGGACAGTAAACAGAGTGGGGTCTGTGGGAGGGAAAGAGAGTCTCCCAGGGAGGCCCAGTGGAAGGGCCGGTGGATGGTCCAGGGCAAAGCTTTCCCTGTGCACACACAGGTCTCTGCTCATGGACTTCTAGGCCCTACCCTGCACAGGCTGGTGCAGGCCCGTTACAGCTCAGCAGTGCTTCTTTCTTTTAAAAAGCAGATGCGCTTAAAATCTTCCTAAGGCACATGGTGTAGCCCCCACTCTCTCTAGGAAACATGCTCCCTCCTATCAGCAGGGCGGCACCCTCCAGAAGGCCTGCAGGACGAGAGGAGCTGCCGGCTTCTGGTGTCACTTGGGGTGACTCCAGCAGGAAGGCACGGGACCCTCCAGGTTTCCACAGGAGGCCTGAGCAGCAGGATTTCAAAGATTGGGCCCAGCTGGTTCGAGGAGGACCAGTATGTTCGTGGAAGCCCCCTGGGGAACTGTGGTGATGCTATGCAGAGAGAATGTTTGTGTTTGGGGCTTTAGGAGCCAAAGCAGGAAGCTTCCAATCCCCAGGTCATCAGTGTCCCCATCTGGTCTTTGTTACTGGGGCTGCGAGGAACCAGGAAGGCTCATGGCACCAATGGACCCATGGCTGGAAACAAGGCCTTCTGTGCAGGTGCTGCCGGATAGCAAGCACAGCACCCTCTGGTGCGGAGGGGTGGGGACCCAGGGCTGCTCCTCACCACGGCGTTGCGCTCCACACGGGACCGGATCTGGTCTACTTTGCCTTTGATCACTCGGGGGAAGATGGAGGAATCTGCTCCTTTGCAAAACAGATATATTTCCCCTGCCAAATGAGACAAGACGACACCGGGTCACAACCTGGGGAGACCAAATTATGTCTCAAATCTTACTGTTGTTAAAAACCCAAGCCAGAAGGGCAGCACAGAGACACAGGAGGTGAGGATGATCCGACCTACAGGTGACCGGAGCCCCATATTGTGCCTTCAACCTGAGCCCTAGGGTCCACCAGGTGGAGGCCTCTTCTGGGGGCACCAGGCACGGGTGCGTAGTGACCTGAAGCCTGGAAAGGCAAGCCTAGATCCACTCTAATGTGGTGCTGCATGCGGTGATGGAGCTGGACCGTCCTCTGCGGGAGCCACCGAGGGTGGCACCGAGGGTGGCAGGTGAATGCCTGGCCTGGCCCACTCCCAGGTGGGCACAGGGAGGGCACAGCCCTGGGCAATGCCTGGGACCAAGGCCCAGGGCTCAGTGTATGCCAAGCATCCACCATGCCTGTCCCCAGATCCTGGGAGGCTCTACCCCCGAGAGGTGCAAAGGGGAAAACCCCTGAGACCTGGATGTGACCCTTGCCCCCAGTGACACGATGGCCTCACGATGTCAGCCATGATGATGGTGACCATGACATCGCTGGTGGGAGGCCATGCCGTCATGATGTAACCTACGGCCCGAGGGATGCCGGGCAGCGTGGTGCTGGACAGACGTGGGCAGCGGCCTGAGGATGCAGAGGTCCTGGCCCAGGTGACCTTGCAGGACCCCAAAATCAGGTCCCTGGTAAGTTGCCGCTCGGGCTGACCTGTGTCCTCTGTTGCCGTGTGTCACTTGCAGCTGGGGCCGGGTCATCAGCAGGTGGTGCATCCCTACATGGCTCCTGGAGCATGTTGGTGGCCTGTATGTCACCTAACCTCCCTGTGGCCTCTGCTTGCCAATCCTCTGCAGCACAGTGTGACAGCTTCCAAGACAGGACTTGCCGGTGTCCAGAGGACACGGGGAGCATCACCTGTCCAGACTGGAGTGGCTCAGACCCACCTTGCCCATTGTGTGTGCAGGGGAGGGGTCATGGTAACACCTGCGTGGGGGACGCGACGGAACTGGCGGGCTGAGGTCCCTGCCAAGGGCTGGGCCCCAGGGCCCTGGATGCAGGGCTGGTCGAAGTGCAGGGTGGACACGGCTTGTAGCACACAGAGGCTGTGTCACAGCAGAGGAGCAGTACACCAGTGGGCGGCGTGGGGTGTGTGGCCCTTCCTGCCCCGGTGTGCTCATGGGTCACTGCGTGGCCATTGCAGAGGGCCTGGGCATCAGTGCGCAGGTCTTCCACGAATGTGCAGCTGGTGACCGACTCCCTGTGTCTGTCCCCAAGTCCATGTGGCCAACCCTGCAGCCACATCATGGAGGCGCAGACGCCGGAAATGGTGCTCTGGGGTCTGGGCCACCCAGCTCCACCGGCCCCCACTTCTACCCTCACGGGGCCACGGGACTGGGGCATCACGTGTCCCTGGGGCGCACTGACCCTCAGGACATCCTGCTGAGGCTGCCTGTGGGTGCCACTCCTCCAAGGCCCCGGGGTTGAGCATGCAGTGCTCCAGTGAGACCGCCCGGAGTTGGGCACATGCCCCACTGACGTCTCCACTCAGAGGTGTGGGGATGCAGGCTGCCCGCCCTCATGCGGCTGTCAGCACCCGAGTCTGTTCTCAGACACCATCTTGCTAATCCCCGGCCAGGCCACCAAACAACATGTATAAACTGTCTCTGTCTCGAGCCTCACAACCTTCAGTGCACATTGAATCAGCCTGGCCTGCTCGTCCCTCACACTGGTGATCCATCCTAAGGTGATTCTGTAGGCTTGGTGGGAACAGACTTGAGACAGATAGCAGGGTCCCCAGCAGCCACAGCATCATCATGAGGCTACTGACCCAACACACACACACACACACACAGACACACACACACACACACACACACACACACACACACACACACACACACACACACACACACACACACACTGTTACATCCCTGGAGATCAGGTCATAGGTTGCTGCTAAAGGTGTTTCAGTGATGTCTTAGGAGAGGGGAAGGCCTGGTCCCAACCAGAACATCAGAATGGCTCTGTTTGGGATGCTCCCTGCCTCCTTCATGATGACGTGACTTCTCTCAGCAGTAAGTCAGGCGCCGGGCTGGTGCTGAGCTCTCCAGCGTCAGGTCTGTTTAGTTCAGGCTTCAGGCATCTGAGCAGAGGCAGGAACCCTCACACTGCATGCAAGGCCAGGGCAGGAAGGATGTTCGGGCATCGGCCTGTGCACATGGGGGGCCAAGGGCTCCCCAGGAGAGGCAGTGGCTCTCATGGTGGCGAACCCTCTAGGATGTTAAGGAGCAGATGCGGCAGGGACCCACAGCTCATGTGGGCTCACACAGAGGGCTGCAGCCAGCCCTCCTTCCTCTAGACAGGGCATTAAGATACATTTCTGTGCAGAAATGAGGTAAAATGTGCATTTTCACAATAAAATGAGTCCAACCCAACACGAGGCAGGATGCCCAAGGGCATGCAGCCTTGAACTCAGACCTTCAAGTTTAAAACACTTCACTTTTCAATAAACAATGGCTCTGTCGATACTGAAGGAAATAAACAGTTCTTGGGGCAAACCCTCAGACTCCTATGCGCCAGCCATCAGAACCACACTCACCGTGAATGGCGCAAGCCCCTACCTGCGGCAGATCTGACGATGACGCTCATCCTCCTCCTCACGGAGTCGAAGCTCAGCACTTCCAGCAACTCGAACCTGGGAAGAGAAGGCGACAGCTGCAACCTCTGGGCCGGGGCGTCAGTCATGGAGCCGGACAGCATCCTTCCCCTCACCCCATCGGTCGAGTGGGCACCGGGCTGGCCCTGTGCTGACTGGTCCTCGGAGGGGCGGAGGGGGGGAGTCCAGGCACCGCTGGCCTTGGAGACACTCCTGGCACACCTGGCATCACTCTGTGGGTCCTGCCTGGCCCAGGGTGGCAGGTGCAGAGGCTGTGAGTCCGCAGCTCCCCAGGTTCAGCAGGCTGTGAGTTCTAATCTTGGCAGCGATCCTGCCAGCTGCCCTCAGGAAGCTGGACGCCTCAACCACAGCGAATCATGGCCCGAGGGACCCTGCTCTGTAGGCAGGGCCAGTCCAGGGCCAATACTGTCCCCAGCCCAGGGGCTCTCCCGATCCCACTCACCCAGGTGCTCGTTTCCTAAGAGTGCCATTTTAGAACTCAGGTTTCTGAGGCTGTCAACACCGGATCTTCTGTCCCTCACCACCCAGGGCCTCACTGCACACCTGTGCCTGTTCATCATTCTGAGCAAGACTCAGGATGTGTCTCATTTTAGGGACAAGCACTTGGCACAGACCTGCCCTAGTCCTGAAGGTGGATTGAAAGCCTAACTGTGCATCCACATGGTGGTAAGTGCATGACTGTAATACCAGCTACCCGGGAGGCTGAGGCAGGAAGACGGCAAGTTCAAGGCCAGCCTGGGCGGGCCATGCAGGGACTTAGTGAGACCTTGTCCTCAGAATAAAAAACAAAAAGGACTGGGGTTGTTCAATGGTAGAGTACCCCTGGGCTCAATCCCCAGTACTACATACAAAAAAAGCATTTAAGAAAAGGTAATTGTGTAAGCTTTTCAGAGGACATGGTGTTCCATGACCTGGGATGTTTTGTCACATGTGTGGATAGTCACTTCTTCCCTCTGGAGAGCGAGAGGGCTAAAGGAGGGCAGGACATTCTAGAAGCCTTGAGAGAACAGGACATTCTAGAATACTTGAGAGGGCAGAACATTCTAGAGGCCTTGAGTGGGCAGAACATTCTAGAGGCCCTGAGAAGACAGAACATTCTAGAAGCCCTGAGTGGACAGAATAGTCTAGAGGTCTTAAGCAGGCAGAACATTCCAGAAGCCTTGAGAACTCCTGCAGTAGAACCTATTTAACTGAAATATCTTTGATGATAAAGCTTTTCACTGCTGCCAATACACTGCCCATGTACACCATCAGGAGAACCCTGCAGACAGCACCACCCCTTCCCTCTTCACATCCAGTGTCCCCAGAAGGCACAAAGACTTTGGGGCTGTCTCTGGGCAGAGGGGAGCTGTGGGCCTCACCTCTCGATGTCACCGTCCCTATTCAAGATCTCCATGTAGCTGTCCTTCAGCCGCAGGTACGTGAAGCCCAGCCTGCAATGAGTGGGCTGAGTCAGCGTGGCCCACAGCCCTCCTCCCACAACCTCGCCTCAGGGCTGCTCTCTTCCTGAAGGAATACTTGATAGCCTCTCATCTTCCTGCTGGGATGTGGACCCGGGCAGGGGCCCATAGCGACACCCGTCCTCCTGACAGCCTGCAGGAGTGTGGTGGGCGAGGACCAGCCATGGAGGGATGTGGGCAGAACTCAGCGTCCCCACCCGTGGGGCAGTGCTGGGTGCAGCAATACCACCAGGGTGGTGGTGGCTGGAGGAAAGGCCTCCTGGACAGAAGAGCTCTTGCCACGCCAAGGGCTACATCTGAGCAGGGTGCCTGACACCCGTTTCCTGTCTGCCTGTGTGCGGGAGAGGTGCTAAGACTGTAGGCAGCAGCAGGGCCCTGCCGACCATGGCCTCCCCAGCAGGTCCAGGGGCACATGCTGGGCGGAAGTCTCGCTCTAGAACCGAGGTTGTTCAGTGAAGACAGATCCACCTTTGCACGCCTTCCACCAGTGCCACCTCGTCGGGTGAGGACGAGATGTACACGCAGGATTTTCCTGAGTCTGGTGACTTCCTGGGGCCATCCACGTGGTCCTCATCCTTCACCTGGACGGTGTGGCACAGACAGAGAGCCCGGAAGAACAGCTCCTCCTGCTCCTGCAGGGGGCAGCACAAAGAGCCATGGCAGGTCCATGTGAACAGTGGGGGACACGAAGGCGACAACCCGCTAGGCTCGGGCAGGGCCTTGGGAGGCTGGCGCCACTCTGTCTGAGAGGCCAAGGGGTCTACACGGTTCCCGTGTCCCCAGGCCCTGCTTGGGGATTCATGTGGCCGATGGAGACCGGAACAAGGGCGATGCTTTCAGACCTGCGAGGCTCTGAGCACACATTGGAATGGCACAGCCCCTCTGGGCTCCCCTGCACCCAGCTCTGCTGTTCCTGGCCCTGGTACCGCGTGACAGTGACACAGTCCTAACTTCAAGGGACTCTGGCCCTCACCTAAACCCTGTGTTTGCAGCCTGAAGTTCAGCAGTTACAGAAAGTTTTCGAGAAAATGGGCAATGTACTTGTGGTCACAGCAGGCTGAGGACCCTGTGGCTGCCCCTGGCTTGGGTTACTCCATGCGGGCTGCCCGACATCCAGGGTACATGGGACAGCAGACAGGGTGGGAGGACCGCAGACATCCGCTGCCCTGCTCTACGTGTGTCCAGGTGAGAGGGTCACAGCATGCTGGCCATGAGCAGGCACTGCTGCCCAGCTGTGACAGGTGCCACATATTCCAGAACAGTCTCTGGCTGACCAGGGCCCAGGATCGAGCCCTGCCTTGGGGCTGAGGTGTATGTGTGAGAGCATGTGTGTCTGCGTCTATGAACATGCCTATCTGTGCATGTGTACACGCATGACTGTATAAACTGCATGCATGTCTGTGTGGGCACACATGGGTTTGTACCTTCACAGCACAGTGCCTGCCTGGCTGGGGCTCTCAAGAGTCTGGGCTGGGAGCGCCTGGCCACACCTGCAAGGGGACGTGGTGCAGGGCCTCCCAAGTCCGGCCTTCCTGCTAACCACAGCACCACAGCCGAGTGGGAGCTCCGCTTACCCTGCTGCTGATGCCGGGGGACGAGTCAATCATGTCGATGCCAGAGGAGTCACGCAGCACCTGCCCGTTGCAGACGACGTGGGGCACGTAGACGTGGCCCTCGATGCAGCACTCCTTGAAGGCCATGTTGTTCTCGGTGAGGGTGCCTGTCTTGTCAGTGAAGATGTACTCCACCTGTGGGCACACGCGGGGGCACTGGCTCAGGCGTGGGGCGCCTCCCTGGGGCCGGCTGCAGCCCTCAGCCGCCAGGCCAGTGCCATGCGGGGACAGGCGGCACTCTGCACGTCGGGGCCGTGATGCCGGGTGCAGCCAGAGCCCCACGCTCTTGGTGGGTCATCTGGAGTCTCGTCTGACAGCAGTGAGAAAGCAGGGGAGGGGAAGCCGGATGCCCCGGGAGCCACAGCTCACAAGGCCACGTAAGGCCCCTAGTACAGAACCCAACTTGAGAGCACAGAGCGAACCTCAGCAAGAGGCCGAGGAAAGTGGGGAAGACACACAGGGCCTCAACCCTACACCTGGGAGAGGCACAGGTCACACAGCCCCTGCAGGCGGTGGAAAGGAGCCAGGTCCATGACCCAGGCAGGGCCGGCGGGTTCAAGAGGGGGCACAGTGGGAGCAGTGCAGGCTCCATGGTCGCCCGCCCTGTAGTGGCTCGGAAACCCATACCAACCATGCCTTGCACTGTGCACTGGCTCTGATGCCTCCCGGGGCGGGGGGGTACACAGCATGCTGCCCGAAGGCTCCACAGTGAGCACAGCCCCGCAGTCAGGGCAGAGGGCACAAGGCCCCTGGGTGCAGTCACAGTGGGGGAGGACGCCCTGGTCTCCCCAGTTGTGGGCTCAGGTCAGAGAAAGGGCTGTGCATGAATCACCAAGGCACGTTCTTACACAAGCCCGGACTCAGCTAGAGTAAGTTACATGGAGTTCTGAGATGTCCACAGGTAAAACAGATGTTCCAAAGTATGATTTATCAGTCTGCTCGGCGACAACTACACAGGTGGTGTATTTCTGTAACCGTGGCAGCTTAGCATGATAAAAACTGATCCTGACAGGTGCTAGGCACTGCACATGGCCTCAGAGAATCCACGCCAGCCACGGTATCTTCCCAGCCTCACAAACACAAACACAGGCTTAGAACTGGACGAGAGGCCAGCCGTTCACCAGGGTACGCCAGGGGATGCTGTTGTCTTGCTGTTACTGAATGAGTTTGTTGGTCTTGATTTATTCTTTAAACTGTTGATGTTTAGAAAAGCCATGGGACTTTTATGCATGTTGGTTTTATATCCTTCAACTTTCTTGAGTTCATTTGCTGTAAGTTTTTGGCGGAGTCTTTCAGGTTTTCTATTGATGAGACCAGTCACCTGCAAACAGGGACAGTTTGACTTCTCCCTTTGTTTCCTTCCTTCCTCCCTTCCTTCCTCTTTCTCTTGCCTACCTGCTCCAGGGAAAGCAGCACCCTCATCCTGGCCCTGACCTTCAGCTTCTGTCTGCGGAACAGTCCTGGTCCCTAGCACATTAGGAAAGGACACAGATTCCGCTTCCGGCTGTGTCTGTGGATGACCTCAGGCTTTCCCTCCCTCTTGGAGACATGATGCGTCACACTTATCCATCTGCGTGGTCGTCAGTGACATCGAGTTTCCACACCTGCTTGCCAGGGATGTTGCCTGTGATTTCCCACCAACCGCAAGCCGGACGGGTGGGCACTGCTGCTGTCCTCAGCTCTGGAGAGTGCCCAGTGCCAGGCAGTCTGCTTGCTCCACACCTCACAGTCCGACACTCTGAGGGAAGGACCCAGCTCAGAGGCAGCGCTGCCCTAGGACAGCCTCGGCTACACTCAGCTCACCAATGTGGCTGTGAAAAGTTTGGGGCCTCAGTCTCCCCACTGAGGAGTGGAGGGGACACCAACCTCCAGGGCACAGAAGAGGTCACATTTGAATGAGCACTGGAGCCTTGCTGGAGTCTCCATGTGGCAGGGGTGCTACTGAGCTGCGGACCCAGACACAAGCGTGCCTCCTACCTTGTGTGCAGGAGATGCAGCTCAGGCTGCCCTCTGGGTGACAGTACATGCACCCACATCCACCGGGCAGCGGGGACCCCTCATGCTGGCCTCAGTGGCCCTTGTGTCCCTACAGCACTGCTGCTCTGAGCTGCCTGGCTGCAGCCTGGCTGTGCCCAGGGTAATTGACAGGGATGGCACCCTCGAGAGCTCCAGGTGCGGCTCGGCTCCTGCCTCTCCCTCAGGCAGAGACCGTGCTGGCGAGGGTCTTGGGAATCACACCACAGACCGCACGGCTGCGAAGGACATGAGCAAGGCCTGTGAAGGTGGAAGACCCCAGACAGCTCACCGTACCTCAGGCTCTGCTCCCAGGAGGAAGCAGGGATTAGCCCTTGATAGACACAGCTTGACCGCAGCCCCTGGGATCTGCATGCTGGGGCTGGTGAAGAGGCGGCACTGGGCTCCCTGACCACAATGACCAAGGGGTTTCCCCACAATGCAGCAGGGCCACCTGAGGTGGCAGCAGGAAGGATCCACCTTCCTGAGGTGCCCCTTTGCCATGAAGGGTCTGGGTGACCATGGGCTCTGTCCCTGCACTGCGGAGACCGGGTGGCACAGGGTCCCACACCTCAGCTGTCCCTCAGCCCAGCGCGGCAGGCAGCTGCTGACACCCCACTCTGCAGAGGGGAAACCCGGTACCAGAGCTCACAGGGCCCTGGCAGCAGAGAATTCTCCCTGTGGTGCCACACCTCTGAGGCCGTCCATCCTCTGCCTGCTCCTCCACGGCAGCAGACGCCCTTCGTGTTCAGAAACAACGTGCACAGAAGCAGAGCAACTCCTGCAAAGCAGGTGCTTGAGGGGGCGACCTCACCATCACCCCACAGGCCCTCAACTGGTACCGTGGAGGTGCAACACGAGGAGGAGCTTATGGAAGGCATCTGACGCTGCTCATTATAAAGACAAAAGCACCGCCCATGGTACAGGGACCTTGCACTTGCAAGGCAGGCAGCGGAACCACAGAGCTAAATCTCCGGCCCTATGCAGGTAAAACTTTAAAAACGAACTCTGCTGGTGCCTGCGGGTCACAGCCGCGTCTACACACGCACGGTGCAGCTGGCTCCCCATGCAGGAACCATGCGGCGCTGTGGAGACCCGGGACTGAGGCCCAGCAGTGCGGATACCGACCTGGCCCAGCTCCTCGTTCAGGTCGGACGTGTTGACCAGCGGCCCCTCCCCAGTCTCCTCGTCAAACATGTCCTCGTCCCAGGTGATGAAGTAGGAGCCCAGGAACTTCTGCATCTCCACCGTGACGTACATGGACACGGGGATGATGTAGTTGAAGAGGACCATGAAGGCCAGGAAGTCGGTGAAGGCCCTGAGGAACTGAGAGAGCAGGCTGCATTGGAGGGCGCGGCCACGCGGGAAGCCCAGGGCCCAGCAGGGATGTGTGTCCTGGCCTGAGACAGCCCCTGCAAGAGTCACACTGCCGGGATGGGAGGCCATGCAGCAGAGGCCTGAGGGGAAAAGGCACCAACAGGTTACCTGAGATACCAAGGAACAGCCTGCAGCCGTGTCAGGGTGAGGGGTGAGGGGCTGGTGAGCAAAGCGTGGAGACGGCCTGGGTGTGCACACGGCCCTGCTCCTACTGGCGCTCCAGTGCTGGGCCCCTGAATGCCCACCAGGTGGGGCTTGCTCTGCACATGGTGGCACCCTTCCTCCCACCTCCACCTGGCGGCCACCTTCATCCCGCAAAGGTGTCGCCGTCCATACCAGATTCCTCTGCCTCTCTGACTCGGTCTTCTGGTTGTACCACGGCTCGTCACGGAAGGGCGCGCTCTGCCACACGTACTTGAGGGTGGTGTTGATCAGCGCCTTGCTGATGAGGATGCAGAGGTACACGATGAGGAACACGTTCATGGACCTGGAATGGGACGAGAGCCCGCTCAGCAGTGGCCCTGAGCAGGGTGCCCTGCCCAGCCTCTCACTGGTCACGGCGGCTGAAGAAATGGGGCCGGCACAGCGCTGGGTCAGGGTCAGGGCCCACTGGACACCCTGGGAACGGGAGTCAGCTCCACGCCACTAATGGGATGCTAGGGGCCACAGGCACAGAGCTGGACACGGGGAGTTCTGCACTCTGCTGGCAAGCATTCCCGCTGGGCGGTCCCCGACTAGGGAGCACAGCCACCAGGGGTCATTCCACCCCTGAACAGCACAGGTGGGCCCAGACGGTGGTCCCCAGGGCAGAGGGAAGGACGGAGGGGGGGAGGAGTGTGGATCCTGGTCACACCTCAGTGGCCTGGGAGTTGTTTCCCACACTGTGCAGAGACCTCGGGAAGCAAGGGGCTCCTGTCACGAAGCCCAGCGCACTGCCACATGCGATGCAGCCACAGGGCCAGAGACCCAGGCTGCACTTCCCGGCCACTCGAGAGGGTGGGATGACTGATGGCCCCCTAGAGGTGGGAGTGGCACGCAGCCCCAGGCTCAGCCTGACACTGTCCTGGAGATCTGACTGCTCCAGGAGAGATGACCACGCCCACTGCTAAGATCTCGGAAGATCACACCGAGAACGCACAGGTCCCCCTGAGGCCCAGCGGAAGCAGGTGCAGGCTGAGATTACAGGAAGTAGTGGGAGGCCTGCAGCTCCTGGATCAGGACCTCAGGGAGGAAACTGGAGGTGTCCCTGTCACCTGCCCCAAACCAGAGAGGCCCCGTAGCAGTGAGCTGTGCACCCCGAGTCTCAGGATGCCTCAGGGGGCAAGGGTGGGGATTGCTGCCAGGCTTCACGCCACCAGCTGTCCCTCCACAGCAGGACAGGGCGCCTTACTTCTCCACAGCGGATCGCTTCTGGGACTTGGACTGGTAGTTCAAGGCCATCTTGGTCTCCATTCCCGTGTAGATGGCCACCCCTGAAAGCAGAAGGGACATGTGACCATGGTGGACCCAGAGGTGCTGGTTCCGGGCATGAGCTGCACCCAGGTACACCCAGCACCCACACGCAGTGGCCAGAAGTGGACCCTCAGAGAATCAGGCCACTTCTAGCTCGCCAGGAGCACAGCCTGTGGCACACATGGTCTCTCACGGAGGGCTGCCTCCTGCCTGGAGAGCACCCGACTCTCAGTTCGGACATCCCTGTCCTGGGCTTTCTCACAGCAGGCCACACATGCCTTACAGTTGTCTCATCTGATTAAAGCACAGCAAACACCCCGCACACAGGAGCGACACCAGCACACACACGCACACGTACACACACATGCATGCAGGCTTGGACATTCTAAGGAACAACACCACGAATCTCTCATGAGATCCCCCGTTTCGGGGGCACAACCCGCAAGCCCTTCACAAGCGAGTCCCACTCTCCGGGGCCTCCCTCCATGTCCTTGATCTCCAGCACCCACGCTCTCGGAGGGGAAATCTGCAGGGCCTCTCGCTCATACTCGCTGATGACACTCACCGAAGATCCTCTCAGTGTTCTTGAGGGTGGCTCCTCTCAGCAGCAGGTTCTCCGACCCCAGTGGCCTGTGGAGACAGGGCAGCCAGAGAGAGCAGGGGGATGGATCCTGGGGCCCAGGACACCGCCCCACAAGGACACGCCAGGACGTGTGTCCTGTCACAGCTGCGGGTGCAGGCCCCTCTGGGTGTGGGGCCCCCTCAGGGTATGGGGCACCTCTGGGGTGTAGTGCCCCTCTAGGGTTTGGGGTCCCTCTGGGGTGCCAGGCCCTCTGTGGGTGTGGGGCCCCTCTGAGGTGCGGGGTCCCTCGAGGGGCACAGGGCTCACTGGGCCCTACTCTGATCTTCCTCTCCCAGGCCTGGAACTGTGCAATGGCGTCTGAAGGGCCTCAGGAAGAGCTGGACCCTGGGCCCCGACCCAGGGACTGGAACCAAGTGTCCCAAGAGTGTGTTCCCACTAAAGCCTCTGAGGTGGGGTTCCTCAGGTGAGGTCCCCCCAGTGCCACCAGCAGTACCTGGGGATGCAGCAGAAATGTCACCCCAACCTTGTGTACCACAGACCCCGGGGCAGGGCCCAGCAACATTCCCTAAAGCCTCAGCTCCAGGATGGCCACCCTGGGGCCCCAGAGCACTCTGGGAAGGCAGAAGACATAAGCCTCTCACTGAGCATCGAACCCTGGCCTGGCACTGGGCTACATTCCAGCTCTTTTTATTTTTCATAATCTTGCTAAGTCACTGAGTTGCCCAGACTGAGGTCAACTTGTGATCCCCCTGCCTCAGCCTCTGGAGTGTGTGACACCGGCAGGCCCAGCTCAAAGGCCCAAGACTCATCAGCCCTCAGATCTCTGTCCCTCTCACAGGTAAGGGAGTTACGCAACCATGTTTCTAGGGACAACAGCACCATGGCCTTGGTGATCTGAGATGGAGCCCTTCCTACCACAGGTGACCTGCACGGCTGCTCTGGGGACCCTAGATCTCCCCGAGAAGCCAGTGCTGCACTAGGCAGTGCCCACAGTGAATGGCAGAGGCTCTACTGGCAGGACCCTCAGTCCTAGTGCCTCCTCGGTGCTGAGGCAGCATGACCTCCCACTCCCTAGGCACCAGAGAAAAAATGGGACACAGAATTCAAAACTTTGCTGCTTGTAACATCTGCACAATCCCTTTGGAGGGTAACAAGAAAGGGCCTGAAGTCTGCTTTTATTCACATATTAGTTTCCTTTTACTGCTGAGAACCTACAGAATATCAGGCCCTTAGTGCATTCATTGTGTGCAGCAGACATAGTGTGGACTGCGCCCCCTGGAGGTCAGGACGGGAGGTGTGGAGGCAAGGTGCTCAGGGTCAGTGGGGGCCTCAGCTGTGGCCTGGGTCTGACAGCCCTGGTGCTCCGGGTGCCCTGGGGCTGCACAGGCCGTTGGCCTGTTAGTAGCATGCTTATTATAACTCTGGTCACAAGCATTTATGGAAACAAATGGCCCATTAAAAATGGGTCTCTGGGAAGTCTAAAAATAATTCACTTGAGAAAATGCCGTGCTTCTAGTCTGCCCAGGAGGAGGAAGAAATATCCCTGAGCAGCTGGGAATCTGGATGATCACGATGAAAACGCAGCAGCAAGTGCACAGACTTCGTCCAGCAGTTTCTCCAGTCTCATGAGGAGACAAGCTCCGGGGACTGGGCTTTAGCTCATTTCCTAGTAATTCCCACTGCGCTCGCACCTGGTCCGGTGCAAGGTCTTTAACACACAACACCATGCCAGGTGTGGACAACTTGGAGAATGCTTAAACTGGAAGAAGAGTAGTTTCTCCAGCCAGTGGAGTTTATGGGAAAGGAGCTTCAAAACCTACACAAAGCCAATTCCCAAATTGGAAAGTCCACACACCGGACCAGCAGACAACCACTCCATTCTGAGGCAGTGTCAGACGGTACGCGCCCGGTCCGGGGCAAGTGGCTCAGAGGGCGCCCGCCCAAGGGAGGTGGCGCTGCTCAGGCCGCACCTGCACTAGGGCACTCAGTGCCCGGGAACCTGGGGAGAGGACAGCCCAGTGCTCTCGGGGGGTGGAGCCTGGCTCTCAGGACAACACAGCAGTGATGAAGAATAAATCAATAAGGAACCGACTTCGAATTCGGCAGCACTCCCGGAACACTCACCTCACCACCGGGTCGCTGAGGTCGCTGTAAACATTGATGCGCCCAACAAACCTGTGGGGGAGAGCCAGTCACAGGCTGTGCCAACAGATGCCCTGCTTTCTGCAGGCAGCCTCGCTCGGGGGCAGGGCAAGGCGCTGACACACCCCAGCCACCTGCCTCGCCTTACCATCTGTTCTCCCAACCCTCTGCAAGTGACTCACTTATACCACGGCCCACCTCCTCACAGCCAGCGCTCACACCCACCCACACGAGGCCCACCTCCTCAGACAGTGCTCACACCCGCCCACACACAGCCCACCTCCTCACAGACAGCGCTCACACCCGCCCACACAGCCCACCTCCTCACAGACAGCGCTCACACCCGCCCACACACGGCCCATCTCCTCACAGACAGTGCTCACACCCATCCACACGCGGCCCACCTGCTCACAGCCTGCGCTCACGCCCATCTCCTCACAGACAGTGCTCACACCCATCCACACGCGGCCCACCTGCTCACAGCCAGCGCTCACACCCATCCACACGCGGCCCACCTGCTCACAGCCTGCGCTCACACCTGCCCACACGAGGCCCACCTCCTCACAGACAGTGCTCACACCCATCCACACGCGGCCCACCTGCTCACAGCCTGCGCTCACACCCGCCCACACGAGGCCCACCTCCTCACAGCCAGCGCTCTCACCCATCCCCCCGCGGCCCACCTGCTCACAGCCAGCGCTCACACCCGCCCACAGGCGGCCCACCTGCTCACAGCCTGCGCTCACACCCGCCCACACGAGGCCCACCTCCTCACAGCCAGCGCTCTCACCCATCCCCCCGCGGCCCACCTGCTCACAGCCAGCGCTCACACCCGCCCACAGGCGGCCCACCTGCTCACAGCCTGCGCTCACACCCGCCCACACGAGGCCCACCTCCTCACAGCCAGCGCTCTCACCCATCCCCCCGCGGCCCACCTGCTCACAGCCAGCGCTCACACCCGCCCACAGGCGGCCCACCTGCTCACAGCCTGCGCTCACACCCGCCCACACGAGGCCCACCTCCTCACAGCCAGCGCTCTCACCCATCCCCCCGCGGCCCACCTGCTCACAGCCAGCGCTCACACCCGCCCACAGGCGGCCCACCTGCTCACAGCCTGCGCTCACACCCGCCCACACGAGGCCCACCTCCTCACAGCCAGCGCTCTCACCCATCCCCCCGCGGCCCACCTGCTCACAGCCAGCGCTCACACCCGCCCACAGGCGGCCCACCTGCTCACAGCCTGCGCTCACACCCGCCCACACGAGGCCCACCTCCTCACAGCCAGCGCTCTCACCCATCCCCCCGCGGCCCACCTGCTCACAGCCAGCGCTCACACCCGCCCACAGGCGGCCCACCTGCTCACAGCCTGCGCTCACACCCGCCCACACGAGGCCCACCTCCTCACAGCCAGCGCTCTCACCCATCCCCCCGCGGCCCACCTGCTCACAGCCAGCGCTCACACCCGCCCACAGGCGGCCCACCTGCTCACAGCCTGCGCTCACACCCGCCCACACGAGGCCCACCTCCTCACAGCCAGCGCTCTCACCCATCCCCCCGCGGCCCACCTGCTCACAGCCAGCGCTCACACCCGCCCACAGGCGGCCCACCTGCTCACAGCCAGCGCTCACACCCATCCACACGCGGCCCACCTGCTCACAGCCTGCGCTCACACCCGCCCACACGCAGCCCACCTCCTCACAGACAGTGCTCACACACGCCCACACGCGGCCCACCTCCTCACAGGCAGTGCCCACACCCATCCACATGTGCCCATTTACTTGTAGAGGTCAGGCTGTGGCTGTTCACACTCGATGGTGGCGTGCAGGGCATCGATGTCCTCCTCAGTGTGGAAGCCCTTGGTGTCCTGGACGGCATAGTGAGTCTGCAGGTGACAGGAAATGGGGCCTCACCCCTGGACTCCCCTGGCTGTGGTGTCCACACAGGCGTGGTCTTGGTGTCCACAGTAGCCAGACCAGGGGCCTGTTCCCCAGCATGGGGCCGATGCCCAATGCACTCTGCTCGCTAAAGGGGAAAGACAGGACGACTCCCTCCAGCCTCTCATCCCACCCTGACAGCGCAGTGCTGGGCTCCTTCACAACCAGGCACTTGTGTCTGCCTGTCCTGTAGGAGCCACACCAGCGCCAGCTTTGGGGACAGAATGCTTCCTTGACTCATCCAACACATGGCTGCTCCTCATTCTGCTCTCCTGTCTGCCCAAATGGCTCCTGCAGAGCTGTCAGGTGACTGAAGCAGATGCCCGAAACCTGGCTATGCCCAGCTGCGCACTCATCACACATCCAAGGTGGGTGGCAGGTGGTAACATGACAGTGACCACTGTCTAGGCCCACATGCTGACAGTGCCGGCCTAGACAGCACCTGTGTCCAGGGATGCCAGGCACAGGGGCTGCACCCGCTCTGCTGCGGGAGAGAGGACCCCTCCCATAGATCTGGAGGGAGGCACTGCACTCAGTCCTGTCCCGTGTCTCTTTCTAGCATTCCAGTGTGGGACGGAGGCAATACATGGGGGACTGAGCCAGAGGGGCAGTGACGGTCTCACCAGGCACCTGGTACACATCCACAACTTCAGGAAATGTCCTGCTATCTTCTCCCCACAGCCCCAGAAGCATGTGTTGGTCCCGGATTGACAGATGCGAATTTTCAGAGAGGGCAGAAAGATACCAGGTCATATGAGCAGGCTGGGAACCCTGTCATGCCCTATAAGCCTCCAGGGAAAGGGTTCCTGTAAGTCCATCCTCAGAGCCAAACGTGTGGGAGTAACTCCAGAGAACACAGGACAATGCCACGCAGACACAGACGTGGGCGTGGAGTTGTGACCCTACCACACTCCAGCTTTGGGCCAGGGCGAATGCCGCAAGCTTTCATTTTGGACAGTGAGGCCCAGGACCCCTGACCCAAGCACCACACGGTCTGGGAGAGAGTGGACAGCAGACTCTGCCAACGGGGCGAGGGGCTCAGGCAGTCTGAGGGTGTCTGGGTCCTGACTTCCTCCTGCGCATACGGTAAACCCTTGAGGCATGCAGGACCTGCTGTCCAGGAAGTCCTGTCACAACTGCTTACGGCAGAGTACTAATTCTCCAGGGAAAGCTCCACAGGAAGTGGGAAAACACTCTGGGGAAAAGCCCACAAGTCTTTACAGCGCTTTGGTGATTTATAGAAAACCCCTCCATCCCACAGTGGAAACCATGTATGCCCATAGGCGCCACCAGAGTATTAAACCTGAGTTGCTAATTCTGAAGTCTTGGCAACGGTTGCCTCCACCGAACTACAGACCCTTTCATAATTTCCTTGGGAACTTCCAGATCCTTTTCAATGAGAAAAGTCTTAAAATTAATAGTGCTACTTTTTTCTCGTTATTATTAAAATTTTTGTAGGAGCAACTGTCCGTGTAGAGCTCCACACTGACTGTGACAAACTAAGTATAGTTTCTGAAAACCCTTTCAAGACTGTCAATAAAGAACTGGACGTAACAACCAGGCAGGACTTAGGGCTGTGTGGCTTTTCGTGTAAGTCTTAACCAGGAAAGACTGATTCTGAACAACAAAGTGAAGACCTTTAAAATGGCAGGCAGGATTGTGCCCATTAAACCCCTGATGTGGCCCCAGCTTAGTCACCTGGCTGATGTGGAAGTTACTCTGTTCACCCCACCTATCTGCTTGTCACAGACATTTTGGGTGCAAAGAGGTAGAGAACTGAAAAGCCAGAGCACGGGATTGGCCACATGAGCCCCTGCGTTCCCTGAGGCCAGGACCTCAGTGTCCCTCGCCCGGCCTGGCCCCAGCCACGACCGTCTCAGGCGTGGCACATTACTTTATGGCTTGACTCTCCGTCCAGGCTGGCGGTGGTCACGTGGCAGGTCCCATCAGCCCGGTTGCTGGACAGGAAGATCAAGTCACAGGGAAAAGTCTCATCTTCCTTGACCATAACAATGTCCCCAACCTGCAGGACGAAGACAGTGGGCGTCAGCCGAGCTCCGCCACTGCGGGAAAGCGCCTGCTGGTGAGGCTTCTCCTCCTGACGCGTCTGGTCTCCACTCAGACATGAGCACAGTGTTGTTCAGCATGGCACAGACGTGAATTTCTCCCGACCAATGCAGGAGGAGGAGCTTCCCAAATCATGGGGAGCAATAGGCCTGCTGTGCTGGAACTGACCCACCAGAACCTCGCTCCTCACAAACAAGGAGCTCAAAGGGATCCCAGGCCCTAAGGGCACAGGAGCCAGGGCTGGGGCCAAGTCAGAACACCAAAGGCAGGACCCCCAGGGGGAAAAGCACCAAGCCCACATCACCAAAACAGAAAACTCTGGCCTGAAGACCGTCACAGCCCATACATCAGGCAAAGTACAAGAACGCTGCCAACTCAACAGTGGGAGCGACCGAGGTGTGTCTTCTTCATGTACCACCTCCCCACCAGTGCACTCAGCACGCACCACAAAGGTGGAGTACAAAATAAAAATGAAAGAAAACCGAGGGAGGACAGAGAGGGAATCGCTGAAAGCAAGGGTCCATATGAGTGAAATTCAGGGAGTCAGGGACAATAAATAAAGAAGCAAAAGGACCCAAGAAGCAAATGCACAAGTAAACATGGCAAAATATTAAAAAGCAAGCAAACTCAACAGCAAAGCAACTTCAACTACTGTGAGTGGAGGATGGTAACTGAAAGGAAGAGGGTGCACGGAAAGCATTCCAGGTGCGAGTGGTGCCGGGGGACCTGCCGCTCTGCCCGCCCAGGAGAGCAAATGCAAGCCACTAAGCACTGCACATGGGGCCAAGGTGCCGCCGAGTACCAGCAAGGACGCCGGGGTGGTGGTGGGGGGGCTCCTCCAGAGTCTGAAGTGACACCGCACAGCCGCCGGGTCAACTTGCGGGAGTTGATGCCATGGCAATGAAATCTATCCCTGTAGGGCAGCCGGTTCACACATGTGCATGGCAGTGGAGGGAGAACACCTCACTGCCCTTTGCCTGTCACCGGCCAGAGCATGAGGCCCACACTAGGGCCACACTCAGTGGGGTGTGTGTGTGTGTGTGTGTGTGCCGTAACACACGCTCAGCTGCGTGGGACAGGCCCGTCTGACTGTGACCCTCTGGACACGACCTAGCCCTGGGACCGGCAGGGTGGGGGAGAACACCAGGTCGCTGTCATTTCCCACAACCACAGGTGAGTCTATGATTGCCCAAAACAGAAATCACAAAAGGAAAACACACAAAGGGGAAACTTCTACCCTAAGAGTCACTCAGGCCCGCTGAGGCCAGGTCCGGGCCACAGGAGCACAGTGGGCCTCCTACACAGCCGCAGATCCCGGACCAGGCCGCACCTGCCAAGGCATTAAAGCCCAGGCTCCCGAAGAGACACTGCTTAGATCTGTTTTTTGAGAGAGACGCTAGTCACAAAGTGCAGGAGAAGATATAAAGGGACCACAACCAGCACAGGCAGGGCACAGGCCTGAGCTCTGTCTGTCCACAGGGATGTGGTGTCTGTGGCCCCTCTGCTCCCAGCCCTCGCCCCCACGGCCCTAGGAAGCTCGCCTGTAGCATAAGGCTCAAGGGCACAGGGCTGGGCTGTGTATCTGCACGCAGACGTGGAAGGAGCTGCACGCATGGGACAGGCCTGCTGACCGGGCTAAGAATGGAGCATGTGCTGCCACCCACACCGGGCCAGGACGCTGCTAGGACAGGGGTGTGGCCCGGGGCGAGACCCGCAGGGAGGGGCATCTGGGTGAGTCTGAGCTCCAGCCGGTCAGCACACAAGGCAGCCAGCAAGGCCGGGACATGGCCCTCCTACACAGCCTCAGCGCCGTGGACAGCGGCAGTCAGGCCAGCGTGAGCTGCCCACTCACCCTCAGCTTGCGGCTCTGCTTGCGCACCAGCTTGCCGTGCTGGATGAAGTGGACGGGACACTGGTTCATAGCGCTGTCGGCTTTGTGGCGGAGCCAGTCTTCATACCCCTGGACAGAGGGAGAGTGGGCACCAGTCAGCCACAGCAGGAGCCCGGCCTGGCAGGCAGAGCCTCAGAGCTCGGACCACACTGCACGCCTTCTCCTGGGTGCTCGTGACTCAGGGGAGACAGTTCCCCAGTGTGGGCTGCGACAGCTTCTGCAGGGATAGGCAGCTCTGAGAGTCATCTTTGGAACAGCCACGCATGCCCTCCACATACCCTCAGGACAAATTCCTAAAGAGGAACTGTCTTGAGTCAGTGGAGCGAAGAGTCGGTGGCTTCTGCCTCTACAAGCCAGTCCCCACCCTGGCACCCGCTTGCCCTGCAGACTCGAGAGCCAGCCCAGCACATCCCACAGAGGCACCGGCTCTCCATTCTGCACCTCCAGGCTGCTCCTGAGTGAGGAAACTCAAGTCAGTATCACAGGACTCGTAAATGCTCCAGACAATTTTATGTTTAAAAGAATGCAGACCATCTCCTGGTGAGGACCAGACTACCAGGAGGGACGTGGGACCCTAAGAATACAAGAGCCAGGTCAGCAGGGCCCCGTCCTATCTACTTTACGGTCACGTCAACGGGGCAGGCATCAGCACGCTTGTGGGCAAAGGGCTGTGCTCACCCTGGGCCTCACAGTGTTTCAGGATTTTTCAAAAAAGACTAAAAGCGAAAAAACCACAGCTTGTTGGAAGGTGACCATCAGGAAGTGATCAGAAGCCAATCAGAAGCTGCTGCTCTGCAGGTTATCCAAATGTCTTGAAGGAAGCACAGGGTCTCCTCCCTAGAGTGCAGGGAGAATCCCACAATGCATCATGAACAGGCAGAATCTCCAGGAAAATGGGCCAAGGCTTTGAAGCCAACTTGAAGTAGATGCACAAGTGGCCAACAAACAAATGAGAAGACGCAACACATCATGGCACCTGAGATGCCCAGGGAGGTGCCAGGCGACCACGGGCAGTGACAGGATAGAGGCCGGGGTCGCTGAGCCTGAGGAGGCCACTGAGGCCTGGGGACCTTTGAGCTTCGTGAGGAACAAGTCCAGGGCAGTCTCTCTGGGCAGCACTGCCCCTCAGGCCTGAGTACAAACCCCAAGACTCAGAGCCTTCTCTATCCGCCCTTAAATACTGCACACACTCACCTGTCAGTTAAAAATGAACCTGCAAGTAAGTGAGGAGCTAGGGAAACCTGTGTACAGATGTTCATCATAACAACCACAAAACTTGGGCAGGGAATTTAGCTCAGTGGTTCTGCTGCCTGCCTCACAAGTGCAAAGTCCTGAGTTCGATCCCGTACCAAAAAAAAAAAAAAAAAAAAAAACCCAATAAAAAAATGACAAAGCTTTAAGTGTCCAACTGCCCCTCAGAGGAATGGGTGGACAAGTGAGGGCTATCCACAGGCTGATGCCTCAGGGACAAAAGCACTCGGGACAGGAAGCAGACCGGTTTGTGTCAGGGCAGGGAACAGAGCAAGAAGAAGAGCCCTGCAGGCAGGGGTTTATGTGGGGTGATAAATGTTTTCTGGAGCTCGGCAGAGGGGAGGAAGCATCACCCACTGGGGAATGCATGGCGAGGAAACCTTGCTCTCTTCAATGCCAGCTATGGGCTTTGTTTTGTTTGTTTTTTTTGTACCGGGGATTGAACTCGGATCCTTGCGGTTGCAAGGCAGGCCACTGAACTGCTGAGCTAAATCCCCAGCTTGTTCTTTTGGTGCTATGGGCTTTGTTTATCAGAACTAGAAAAACTACGCCGTCGCCCCAGGGGTCAGCGTCACTCATAACTCGTGCCCTAACTCCTGCAGGAGCAAAGGGTCAGGTCCCAGCGACTGCACGGAGTGTCTGCACCAGGAGCCTCCCCACTGGCCCAGGACATAGAGCCAGATGCCAGCAGCCACCTCTCTGAGTGACTTGGGCACCAGAGGCCGCAGTTTCAGATGTGATGCCCAGCCCAGGCCACGACTCTGTGGGACAGAAGCGGGCAGCGGCTGAGCTGCCCTCCCTGTCCGTGGATTCTCACCTGTTTGATGGCTGTGACGGTGATGACGAAGAAGAGCGGGAGTCCGCTGGTCACCGGGCTCGTGGGCGTGTCGATGATGAGCTGCGGGAGGGTGTGGAGCCCCATCAGCCCCAGCCCCTGCTAGCCTGCACCACTGCCCGCGCCCCGGCCTGTGACCCCGCGCAAAGCAAAGCGGGCGGACCCCCTCCCGGAAGGGCGACATCAGGAAGCCACGCCGAGGAAGTTCAGGGAGAGTCTGGGGCTCAAGTGTCTTTCATTACTACGTCCCTCTGGGTCACACTCTCATGACACTGCTTGGATAATTTGATGTTGGGGAAATTTAAAGAATCATCTGGCCATATTCTTGCGATTTAGCAAAATGGGACTGTGCTCTCAAACACACGTGCCTATCGTTCCCCACTCCACACCCGCTGAGTCTTGTCCATCTTCTCCTTTAGTGCAGCTTCTTTGCGTTTTCTTGGGAGCAGCCACACTTAGCAACAGGCTCTCCCAGTGCCAGTGGCGGTGAGCCGGCCCTGTTCTCCATGGGCCAGGGCAGGGCACGGCAGGAGGGTCTGTGTGCGCACAGTGGCAGCTGAGTGTGCCCAAGGAGGCCCCAGGGGGCTGCAGGGTGGGGCGCTGAGCATCAGCACCTCCGCTGGCCACCACTGCTGGGAATAACATGTCGGCTGCAGGCGGAGCTGCGCAGAGCAGACTCACCTGCACCAGAAATATGATGAGAAAATAGAAGTTGGCGATTCTTCTGAACTGTTCAAATAAGTTCTTAGGTATGAAGTTCCAAGATGTGTACTGCAGAAAAGAAAAGCCAAAGTGAGTTGTTTTAATCAGATTCTACTTTTCATACATAATACATACATAATAAGCAGCAATAGACTTCAAGACATAGAATGTTTAGATTTATTTATCTATTTATTCACTTATTTGAGACAGGATCCTGCCATGTGGTTCAGGCTGGCCTTGAACACATTATGTAGTCCAGGATAGCCTCAAATTTACAGTAGTCCTCCTGCCTCAGCCTCCCAAGTGCTGGAATTACAGGCAGTGTTTAGTTTTAGATACAAAGTCCAATTCAAAATTTAGTGTTTGTCACTTCTTTCAATCTGTTGACCCAGAAGATAAACTCCAGAAATAGGTGTACACCAAAATCAGCATATACAAATTACCTAATTCCAGAGAATTCAAGACAAAATGTAAAGTCACTCAGCAACAGTTTTACTGTGAAGACATCTTTATAAAACCCGAGGCCATCACGGTTAACCCAAACCTGGACACCAGTCACCTCTGCCAACCGACCATGCCTCTGCAGCTGGGTGAGCAGGTGACATCAGGCCAGAGTGGAGGAGGCGTCCCCACTAGGACGCCGTGTCCACCTGGGGGACACGATGTCCACACGGTGGGGTGAGGTGTCCCCACAGCAGGCTCGGGTTAGAGACAGGCAGGGTTCAGTCCCACGTGGTGGGCACAGCGTCCACAGCACAGGGAGCAGGGTCTCCATTGGAGGGCATGGCAGCAGAGGCGAGAGGGGGTTCTGGATGCTGTGTCCCCCACTGTCAGCACCCTCTGTGTCCAGATGAGTGCCCGAGGCCACCGCCCCCATCGACGGATCCCAAGTCCCACACTGTTCTCGCCTTTCCCTGGATTTCTCTGTCCAACAAGTACCACATGGCCTGGCCTGGCCGTTGTGTCCGCGGTGCCTAATGGCGTGGTCTGTGTTCCTAGGTGGAGCGTGTGACCCTGGTCTACACCAGCCTTGGACTCAGATCATAAACCCAAGCCCCAACCTCTCCCCCCAGACCGCATGGCCCTAAGCCCCCAACACCGACTGATGTCACAGGAATCCACTGCTTTTGTTTTAGCTTCTTTGCCTTTAGCTTCCGGCTGTGGCATGTACACAGTCAAGGCGGCAGCACCTGCACAACAGTGGCCTGCGATGCAGCCCTGCTCTACCCGTCCTGTGATGCCGTGCCCTCCTTCCCGTCCCCTGCTCAGGTGGCTCTGCACACAGGCCAGGGTGCTCCAGGAGGCACCCCTAGCTGCAGAAAGAAATCAGCTGCCCAGGCCTCCCGGCCCCGCCCACCCCTCCCCTCCCAGCCCCCGTATCATCCATGCTTGTTTGACACCAGCCCTTTATCAGACTATTTTCTACAGGATCTTTTGGAGAGCGGGAGTTTAAAATTTTGATGAAGTCTAACTTACCAATTTTCCTCTCGGATTCTGCTTTCGGTGCTGACTCCCAAACCCTACATGACTAAATGTTCTCCTCACTATTGTTTAGCATTTTCACGGTTACGTATGCTTTCCATTTAGGTCTCTGACCCACTGAGAGTTTATTTTTGTGGCAGCTGTAAGAGCAGTGTCTTGTTTTTGCCCTGCATGCCCACATTCTAGCACCATTTATTTCCTTCCTACCCTCTGTCCACAACCAACTGACCATGTCTGTGGTCTCGGTCTCTGCTCTGTTCCTCCGATCTGTTGCTCTTTCAGCCACACGAGCCGTCTTGGTACTGTGGGCTACAGGAAGCTCTGGCATTGGTGGTGTCAGCCCTCCCTGTCCTCCACTCTGGGTCTCGTGCCTTTTCACAAGAGTTCAGAGTCCGGTGGCTGAAATCCACAAAGCGACGTGCTGGGACCCTGACAAGGGCTGACGGAAGACCCGGGTCAGGCCGGTGCCGAGTCGTTCTCCCACAGACACAGACCTCTCTCCATCTGCTCAACTTATCCAGTCCTCCCGAGTCCTGCAGTTTTTTCCTCCTGTAGTGACCACTTCCCTGTCTACAATGCAGGGGTGACAGGTGGCCCTGAGGATGGCAGCAGGCTCACAGTGTGGCTACAGCAGGTCCTCAAAAACTACAGACCCTGAAAACCGCACATATAATCAATCTTCTAAATTTTAAAGAGATATTTTTTTCTGTTTTGGCACAGGGGACTGAACTCAGGGCCTCATGCTTGCCAGGTAGGCGCTGCAGTACTGAGCCCCATTGGCAGCCCAAGAAAGATATATTTTCTCTTAAGTGTACCATAAAGAAAAAAATCAATTACTTCCATTAATGTTTAAAAGGAGAATTGGGATATTCTGTCCCCAGCATTTATATCTCATACACTTTTCCTTTTTCAGAGATAACCCCAAAATGGAATTATTTAAGGTCCTACACTATGAAATCAGCCTTCTTCCCCTGCACCCAATTTGTCACCCATGAATTAAAGCATTTCCCCAAATTTCTAAAATACACTACTTGGTAACAAAGTCACACGAACAGAAAAAGCTTCCACTTAAAATTCCATCTTTCATCTACTGAAATATTTACCGATGACCACATCTGGACGCGTTTCCTGCACGATGCTCTGCGACAGAAGTGGAGAGTAAGAGGAGCTGGTGTGCCGTGCCCTGGGTGCCACGGTGGCAGGGACGGGAGGCTCAGATTCACGATATCCTCCCTATTTTGGGATAGTATGTCCCTGACTCACAAACATTTGAGTTGCGAACTTTCACAGATATGATATGAACAGTCGTAGGTGCAAACAAATCTCAGAAGTAGCTCCTTCTGTGCCGGACACTCACGCTGTGCTGTGTGCACACTGTAGTGCAAGATGCACAGCAGCACAGGGCCAGTCGGAGCCCAGGACGGCCAGAAGCAGGAGCAGCAGCAGTGGTGATTTGGAGGGACAGGAAGGGAGCACAGGGCAATGTATACCACATGTGTGTGTCAAAGGCGTGTAAGGCTCACTCTGTCACACTTATGAACAAATCTGACTCACAGCATTCTTCCAGAACGGAACTTGTTTGTAAGTTGGGGACTTACTGGTTAGCTTAAAAAGTTCCTGCATTAGCAAGTTTTGGTAATTCATGTGAGAGCAAACATCATCTTCTATAGCCCTTCCAAAGTTTTGTTCAGCTGCCAACGTCAACGTCAAACAGTAACACAGGGGCAAATCTTCAACGCACGACATTTACCTGGCAGGAGAATGGGACTGTAGTCGGGGAGGCCCCTGATCCCCAAGAGCCCTGAGAGCCAAGGACAGTGGCTTTGTAAACACGGTAAGGACGAGGAATTGCCCTGAGGCACCGATGGCTGGGGTGGGGGAGAGAGCTGTGGAGGCAGTGGCAGCACCTGTGCTGCAGCGTGGCTGTGAAGGTCGTAGGTGGCATGTCCCTCCACCAGCTGCTAAGCAGAAAAAGTCTGAAAGACAGGCCCCGCTCCTGGGGACACTTCACTGAGTTCCCTCTTCTCCCACGGCCACCAGGCTCCACAGTGCTGGGGTGACAAGAGTGACGCCAGGGTGCCTGGTGGACTCCCACTTCCACTAACACCTCCAGCGGAAGCAGCTGACCCTGGTAATACAGGGCAGCTGGGTGAGGGGCACTCCCAGGACAGGGACGTTCCCCACACAGAACCAATCGGAAAAGTTCTGCATTCAATGCTTTATTTGAATCTGGTGCTGTCTGCAGGAGCAATCTTTTCAAACCTTCATTTGCATATGAGCACGGCCAATCAAAAGATGCTGTTCCCAATGCTGATCCTTCATTTACATATGGCAAGAAGCTGCTTCTCCATGGGACAGGTTGCACAGGGCTGACCCCCCGTGACTGTGGGGCAGGACAACTTCCCCGTGCCTCATCGGTGTGAAAGGAGACAACCCAGGGACTCCAGACGCCAAGACGCCTCCCTTATCCCCATCCTCACCCTTGGGCGCGGAGTCGGTTCCCTGCCTATTGTCATCCTGGAGTGTACTTTTCCACCTTAGCAAACACACAGCTCACTGCATCTCCTGTGTGTCCTGTCCCAGTCTTTGCTTGGACACCAAGGACCTGGACAGAAGTCCACGGATCGTCCACCTGGTGACCTGGGACCTGAGGAATCCAAGCTCCGGTGTGGAGGCAAGGCCCTGTCAGAAGCTGGGACACAGAGCCGACCCCAGTCCCACAGGTGTTCTGAGGCAGGAGGAACCCCGAGGTCAGCAAGGCCATGCCGGGTCTGTGGTTGTTCCCGCCCTTGGCGGGGCCCCTAAGCCCATGTGGCCGCCTGCTCCTTCAGTGAGCCAGGATCTGGCTGGAGCGAGGCTCAGGCATGACCACTTGCCTCACCTGAGTCTGTGCGATGAGACAGCACAGAGCAGCCTGGGAGCCGCAGCTGTGCAACTGGACACTGCCCAGCTCTGGGGCTATTATTTCCCTGAAACAGATCTGGCCCAGGTGCACAAGTGACTGCACTAAAAACATACCGGTGACCAGGCGGGCCCATATTCCCCTGCGACACTGGGCGGCTGTCAGGAGAGGGAGGGCATCACACAATGCAGGTTCAAGGACAGCGTGGCTGCAGGCCCTGGGCACATTCTGTTCCTCAGTTTCCTCACAGATACTTGGGATGGTGACTCAGGCTGCTCCTGGGCTCGGGGCTTAAATAGTACAAACGTGGAGTCATTCCACTTCTACCAGGTGAGAGGCTAATTCCTCATTTCCTGTAACCAAAGGCATTTTGCTTTCTTGAAGGCACATTGTGGTGGTGTAGAAGAAACGTGTCCTTGATTCTCTAGCACCCAGGGGGCAAAGCAGCGTCTGCATAGATTGTGTTATCCTGAGCGCAGGCCCAGAGCCATGCAGGGAGCTGTGCCCACCGGGAGACCGCTTACCGCTTTTCTTCCTCTTACCAGGCGTTTCCCCCACAAGGGGCCAGAGCGCCGAGATGCTTCCCACAGAGGGTACAGTGGAGCTGTGCACGAAGAGTGTGACAGGAGGGCCTGTTTCACTGCTGCCCACGAGCCTCCCAGGCCAGCCACTCCCCACACTGAGGTGTAAGAGGAACGTGCTGAGGGTAGGCTGGGTTCATGAAGTGTCATTTGATTTTGTAAGGAAAAAAACCAAAATTCTCATCCAAGAAAGCATGGTGTAATTCTGCTGACATCCTCCGAAGCCTGTTGTAAAACTCCATGGTATCTATCAGTAAAAATGGTCACACATCCTCCAGTGCATACTGGAGAATTCCAGAGAACTCCAGCTCAGCCTGTGAGTCAAAGCCGTTGCTGGCCGTCCCAGTTGGCTTCCAGTACTCCCATCCCGGGTGGCGCTGCTCCTTCCTGGATCCAATCTTTGTGCCCTTCCTCTGCAACTGTGCTTCTCTGACTTGGCTGTCGGATCAAGGCCAGACCCACCTCCTCCAGCAACCAAGGCCACCGGGGCACAGGGCGGTGTCTCAGCCAGGCATCCGGTGCTCTAGGGCACCTCGCCCAGCACTCTCCCTCCTGCTGGCAGAGCCAGGGATCCCGGCTGCTCTGAGAGGACACTGACTTAATCCTGCTGGTTCCTGCTGGAGAGCTTCCTGGTATGTGGGGGCCCCAGTGGAGAAAGGGTTTTGTCATGCTCCTGGGACCTGCAGCTCCCATGCATCTCACCCAGTTTCCCTCCCCAGGGACAAGGGCAGGTCAGGGCCTCTCCTTTGGCTGCAGGAGCATTTGAAAACAAAAGCCAAGAAGTGACAGACTGGCCCTGAAACTGCTCAGAGAGCCAAGGTATGGAAATCACTCCATCTAGGTTTCTCCCCACAAACCACTGCCAGGGGCTTCCTGCGGCTGCTCCCTACGGCCTGCTGAGCTGTGACTTCCTGCTAACCAGCAGGAGCCACAGGCCAGGGTGGCCAAGATGCAGCGCAGGCCGGTGGAGCAGCCAGGGCCCTGGATGTATACGGTGTGCATAGACCTCTGACACACGTCCCCATGGACCCACAGCACCCTTGCTGACAGCTGCGACTGCCCGGCTGCCTGACACACGTGGATAGGGCAGGGCAGCCGCCCACCCTTCACTGCACGCTGGCTTCTAAGAACTGCACTTAGAAGTCCTCAGTTCTCAGCTGCTGGGGCCGGGTGCACCGCCTGCATGTAGGAGCCCCGCAGACCGGTTCTGGGTGAGTCCTTCTCCGTTTATCAAGTCTGTAGGCACAGGGTCACTTTTCTGTTTGGGGTTTTGTTTTTGAGCATTTTATTTTCCCATGTTGTGTTTTTAGATATTAAAATTGCACTTTTAAAAACTTTGCTGTTGCAACTAAACCCATAACAAAGTGAGCTTTCCTGGAGTCAGACATTAACAGTGGAGGGCCTCTCTGAAGCTCGTGAAGGTCCACACACAGGAACACCGGGCTGGCAGGGACCCACTGTCAGGTCCGCTGCTCCGGTCCAGCCCAGGACGACCCGGCCGAGGGAACCACTGCATAGCCTGCATGGGCTCAGACAGCCCAGGCCCTGCATCTGCTTCGGTCAGCAACTGGCTTCTCACCCGCTGCCCTCCGGCCTAGCCCCTGGATGCCCCTGCTCGTGGGCAAGGTGTCCCCCGCTTCCAGCCCAGTGATGACCAGAGCTGCTTCTGCTCCCTGCAGCCGTGCACCCAGACGCTCAGTGCTGCTCTCCCTCGGGAGCTGAGGCTTCTGCTCCCTGCAGCCATGCACCCAGACGCTCAGTGCTGCTCTCCCTCGGGAGCTGGGGCCACAGGGCAGCGGCACGGTGTGCATTTCACACGTGGGGAGACCCTGGCCTGGGTAGTGGGTGACAGGCACGCACCCAGACTGCAGCACTGCCCCTCTGCCTGGGACACGACCATCACCGAGCTGTGAGCAGCATGAGGTGTGAGGGGGGGAGAGACAGCGGGGTGCAGCCGCCTGCACAGCCTGGTCACACACTCTGGGAAGGCGGCGCTGTGACTGCAAGAGGGCCGTGCAGACGCGCGAGGCTACCTTGGAGGAGACGATCCTGTTGTCGGGGTATCTCTGTGGAATGTAGGCCTCGGCGCCCGGTGGCGGCTCCCTGTGTCCCACGTAGATGGTGCGGCTGTCCACCCAGTTCTCTTCCCCGGCGCACTGTGGGGAGAGAGGGCAGCATCAGCCGCACTGGGGCACCTGCCCCCCAGCTCCCACCCTCGCCTGCCCCTCGGCACAGAGCCCCGTCTCGCCGGCCACACCGGGGTGACAGGGGAGGGTGCCCAGGAGTCTCCCTGCCACACAGGGCTCTGCTCACTGCCCAGGTCTCCAGGGGCGGTGGGGAGGCCTTGTGCCACAGAGACATGGAATCCACTGGATGCGGCTGTCGTGGAAACAGAACCATCTGGACCCATTAGAAACAGAGCTTGACAGGAACAGGGGAGGCTTCGGGCTGACAATTTGGGGAAACGAAGAGAGAAAATCTTGGCTCAAGAGCAGAATCCCTCTACCGGTCAGGTAGGAGCTTGGCACGGCTTCCTGCGGGGGAGGGTGATGGGGTCACGGCCTGAGACAAGTCCCCGTCGACATCCTGGCCTGGCCGTCCCTGAGCAACCCGGGCCCCAGCACAGGCCACGTGAAAGCCAGAGCACAGGGAAAGCCACTGAGGCTGCACTGTCCAGTCTGTCACGTTTGCACCCGAAAGACTGTTTTACAGAGATAAGTATTTTGAATGACAGGACTGGACCCTGGGCCCTGGCCACGCCAGTAAATGATCCACTGGCCTCTGAGTTACATCCCTAATCCTTTCTTACAGTTTTTATTTAGAGACAGGGTCTCACTAAATTTCCCTAACTCAAGATCCTCCTGAGGAGCTAAGATTACAAGTATACAATAGCACACCTGGCTGTGGAAATGCATTTAAAATAGGGATTATTTTTAAAAGAAAAGTAATTTGAGAATGTTTACTCCTTCTCCTTAAAAAATTTGGGCAGTAATTGAATAAGAGGATGAAAAAATATATCCTATATTCTTTAAGGGGTTGGTTATATTTGAATATGTTAATTTTTCTTCTTTCTTTCCATATTTGTTTATTTTATTTGTTTGTTTTGAGACAGGGTCTAGTTCTGTAGTTCAGGCTGCACTTGAATTCTAGTAGCCCAGGATGCCCTGGAATTCTGAGTGATTTTCCTGCCTCAGCCTCCCAAGTGCTGAGATTATAGGTTAATTCTCAAGAGAACAAAAAATCTCAAGCAACTCTGCCCTGCCGACTTCAGGACATGGAGAGCCGGTTCCCACTGCCCTGCACCCCCTCTCACTGGGGGCAGCACCACTATGTCCTGGTCAGGACTCCCCTCACCACCCACCCCAGACTGCGGGTGGAGACGGGCAGCCTGCGCGGTACCACCTGGGGCTCGCTGTGGCGTCAGGAGGTCTTGGGTCATGCAGTCCCCGTTCTCCCTAAGACCCTTCCCACCAGGACATCACGGCTGGGCAGGGTCCACACCTAGGACTTCAGACTCACAGTCCCTCTCTGCGTGTCCTCGTCACGCGTGGGGGACGGTGCAGGATCCAGGACCCGTTTGTCATCAGAGACTGTGCGCTGTCCCGGGACTGCACCCGGGTTCGCCTGAGGCCCCAGACCCCGCAATACAGCCCAGGGGCAGGACAGGAACACTCCGGAACACCGAGGAACAGCTTACAGCACAGAAACCGAGGCGAAAGGGCCACGCCCTGCCAGCTCCCGACCACTCATCCATCCCTGGGTCACAGTGCGGCATCTGAGGACCTCAGCGAAGCCCCACTGAGCCCTGGGGCGACAGCTCTGCAGGTTCCCCGGGAGGGCCGGGGTCCCTGCCTTCCCCTCAAGAGAGCAGCTCCTCCCTCCAACCATGCCGCAGAGCCGGGATGTTGGGCAGAAGCCTGGCGAGAGCCGAACCGATGCTGAACTCAACCAGCCCTGGGCAGGACAGGAGGTGCCAGACGCGGGCCTACGCTCAGCAGAGCATCAGTGCATCGGGGCGCTGGAGGGCCACCGAGGAGGTCACCGGCTGTACTTCAGGGTGTCTGGCTGTGAGGCCCTGGGACTGGGGAACATCCCCTCCAGAAACAACTGCTCACTGTGCACTGAGACGCAAATGGCACCCAGAGAGCGGGAAGAGCTGCTCGAACTGATGCACAGTGAGGGTCTGCGTGGACCCGCGGAGGGCCGGGGCAGAGAGCACTGCCCTGGGCCGCAGCGAGGCCAACCGTGGCCAGACAATTACTCCCTAAGGGAAGCGTCCGGCAGGCCGATCCACAGGGACAGAGATGTGTGCTGCGGTGGGGGCTGGGAGGGGCAGACAGATAGCTGTGGGAGACTTTAAAGATGCTTCGAGATTTAAGCGGCCTCTGTGTCCACCAGCACGTGATGGACAAAGAAAACGGGGTTCACCAAGAGAGGAGCACCACTCTGCCATTAAAGAAGGGTAGACTCGAGTCCTTGGCAGGAAAACGGATGCACTTAACACAAAGTTAAGTGACAGAAATCAGACATGCAGCTTCAACATTGCACGGCTTCTCTTACATGAGAAACCCCAAGTATAAATAAACCAAAGAGCAAAGTAACAGAAAACAAGGAGACATTTTGCAAATGGGAGGAGACCAAGAGTTGGAAGGAAGGGGAGGGAGGGAAGCAGAGGGGCACAAGAAGAGTGGAGCTGCTGTCCATGCAGCAACCCCCCAGGAGGAGTGCGATCATCAGCACTGCAGACGTGCAGTAACAAAGTGCACTGTGCCAGCTGCGCAGAACTTGGTACCGGTACAAAAATCACAGCGCAGCACTCTTCAGACAGAGGCACGCAGACCTGTAGCCCATCGCAGCAGAGCAAACCCCTGGCTCGGCTCTGGCCCGCTCCTGTCTGGCCTGAGGCCAGGGCTCTCAGGGAGCCACCGTGCCGGTCGCTCCACGTCCATGCAGCACAGGGTCGAGAACTTCCTGCCGTCTCACAGCTCTTACCATGATCCATGGGGCAACTGGGTCTTCTCTGTCCTGTCATTTGCACATTTGCAGGCACTTGCTGCTTTTTCTGTCATGAACCTATTTTTAAACAGACTCGTGGAGATCAGGAAGGCACAGTGATCGTCAGTCATTCTGGAAACTGTTTTCACACTCAGTGACCTAACTTAGGATTTTGCGGGGCCCAGAACTAAAGTAGCTATCAGTTCTGGCCAGAATGACTAGGCTACTCTGGACCTGCCGGCTGAGTCCACAGCAGCAGGAACTGGGGTACAGCGAGGCACAGACATGGTTAGAATGTGCTCCCTAGTCCTGGGAAATGGAGCAGGGCAAAATACCCACAGGTCCCACCGCACCCCGTGGGCTCCAGAAAAAAGGGCTCAGTCTGGCGCCTTTACAGACACAGCGGTGGCTGCCAGCTTGGGGCAGCCTCCTGTGGGGCCAGCAAAGAGGATGGGAGCTACGAGCTGGGATCCATCCTGCCCCTGCAGTGGCACTGAGAGACTAAAGGTACCATGTGCCAGATCTGGGCCTGCAGAGCTGGACAGGGAGCCGCCCTGGCCGTGGGCACTGGCAGGCTCTGACAATGCTGTAGGTGGAACACCTGGACCGCTCCACCCACACAGGTGGGCTCTGGCCACGTCTATACAACAGAGCCACACTCACATGCTCTGGGTACCACACGGGGACGTTTGGGGCCGAGCTCCACTTTGCTGAGCCCTGTGGTGCAGGGGGTGCATAGGTGCTGGAGATCAGCAACTTTGGGCAGGGGTAGCTGGAGGTCAGTGAACTTGGCCAGCAGCACTCAAGCCTGGGTTCCTGCTCCAGCACTGAGTGAGAATCCAGTTTTGACACCATCCCAAGGCGGCACCGCACGGGTGCTGCGATGCCCAGCCTCTGGCGCAGTTGCCCATAATGGGGATCCTGCTGCCTAGCACATTCCCCTCAAACACATCTTAGAATGTGAGTTACTGGCAATTCCTGGCTGACCCTGGGGCCCTTTGTGCCCTCGCTGAGAAGTTCCCCGGTCAGAACAGGGGAATTGGAGCCCAGCAGCAGGTGCTGGGGGCGTCCTGTACCCCATGGCCAGAGTGCATGGTCAGGACACAGCCCAGGACAGCCATGGCAGCTTTATGAGAGGACCAGGCTCAGAGGGACCGGGAACTGCCGATGTCCCTCCCTGTCCCCCTGCTCCCCACTGTACCCCACACTGCAGAGGCGCACGCATTGCGATGGGAGCCCACAGTGCCCAGTGTCTAACACTGCAGCCCCTCTTCTCTCACCCCAACATGGACAGAGAAGACAGCACAGTGCAACAGGATTGCAGGACACTCCCAGCCCTGATGCCACCCAAGCCCTGATGCCGCCTGAGCCTTGACAGAAACCGCCGCTAGGAGCGGGCACAGACACAGTGATGTCTACACTTATCCCTCACCACTGACTGGCTCCTGAAGACAAGTCAGCCAGAAAACTAAGCAAACACAGCCGAACTTGTACACACAAACATGTCTGTATACAAGGGGCTGTGAGGAGCTGAAATCACCCACCTCCCAGCGGCAGGGCAGGCACATTTGCACGACTTGGGTCCCTATCTAATGAGCGCAGCGCAGGCTGAGCTGGTAATTAGGCAGTGTTTAGCAACAGCACTGCATCGGATAAATTGGATAACAACCTACACAGGACGACTTTGGAAACCAAGGTGCAGCTGGCTGGATATGGTCTCCGAAGCAAGCAAGCTTCCTGCCTCTGGCATGAATCTCTGATATCCGACACCAAGATTCCACCTCAGGGCGGTGACTCTCAGATCCGCCAGGCCACGGGGCGCAGGCCTGGTGAGCAGAAACCCTGCCTCCCCAGGGCACACGGCTCTCATCACCGGCAGTGAGGACTGAGGGGTGGAATCAAGGGATGGACAAGCACGGGTTGAAGGAGGAGGGGGAAACCCAAGAGCCAGCAGTGTCCGGAAGAGCCACCAGACAAAGGAAACAAACTGCAGAGCAGCCGGCTGTGTGGGGTCACCTGGAGGGGAGCACCAGGCCAGGCAGAGAACGGCAGCCGGAGATTGGCAGGGCGCCTCTACCTCCCCTGCTGGGAGCTCCAAGGGCCTCTAGGGCTGCAGGGCATCCTGGTCACTGCTGCCTGGAGGGAAGGGCCACCCTCTTCT